CATTTATTGAGTCCATCACAACTGGAAAAGCTATTGCTGAAATGACCCTCGCGGATAGTTCACCTCTTGTTGATAAGAAGCTGTTGGCTCCATTTTTTTTTTTCCTTCCGATTTTATCTTTTTCCAATGTTCAACTCATTTTTGCACAATTTATCCTCCGATCTTGCTACTAAGTCTACTACACAACCTAAGCTAGCTTGATTTTCTCATTTCAATTTTGTTTGCTTTTGTTCCTAGCAGATTGACACAGCATCCGTACGTCTTCTCTGAAGCTATTGGATGATACATATGGACGGATATAGTCTGCAGACGTAATTAACCAATTTAAAATGTTTAGGATAAATTGGCATGTAATTAAGGTACAAACTTTAGGATGTAGATGTCGACACTCACTTTTTGCCGCAAAATAAAAATCTACATCCTAGTTTGTGAATTAACAGTGTATATGATTCACAAATTGTACTAATATAAACTGTTTATTTAAAATACAGGGAATACTATTTTCCCCCCCTATTCTTTTGAATAATCCATCATACATTAATCACTATCATAACTTGAACTCACTCTTGTTCTTACACGAGTAATTTTTCATTATTATTTTTTTTTAACTCAAAGTTTCTACTACTGCTTATTGTGATAGTGAGTGTCTTAGGAAATGTTTTATTATTATTATTTTTTTTACTTTCATATTTCTTGTACTCTTTCCGTCACAAAATAATTGTTTAGTTTGGAATTTTAGTTTTAGCTTATATTGTACTAAAAGTAAAATTTTAAATTGAACAATAATTTTAGGACAGAGAGAGAATAATTTAACTTCAACTTTGATTTAGGCGCTATGTTTCTTGTACTCCTCTATGAATGCAGGACCTCAGTTTACCCTACTTTGGCAGTTGTGAATATGGAAACACGAACCAGCAACACCATGTACGGAATATTACTTGTTATGTTCTCTGTTTTTTTTTTTTAAAAAAAATGGATCTTGTTAAATTAAAATAATATAATAAAATGTTTTATTTGATTAGAACGGAGGGAGTCAACTATAACTCCCCCAGTGTCACTCTTGTCTCTTTTATTATATATATATATATATATATATTTTTTTTTTTCTAAGAATTAAAAGTGGAGTTTGCGTGTGGGAAAGCTGTTAAGAATGTAAGAACAATCAAGCATGTGAATAAGCGTTTGAAGATGTCAGATGTAATTACATTGTTTGAATGATTGTTTTCCCCCTTTCATCAGGTTCTAGAAGCTAAGACGAAGACCTTCAGCAGGTGCGTTTTCATTGGATTTTTTTAACTTGTAAGATACTCCCTCTGGTTTTTAATACTCCATCCGTTCCATAAAAATAATCCACATTGAGTTTTGTGGACTATTTTTGTGGGACGGGATAATATAAGACATTTTGATTTGTCCTGAATTTTACATATATGCATTTTTTAATTGAAGAAATAACCTTAACAATGCATTTTCGTGTTCGTTGTGTTCTCTTAATTGTTATGAAATGTTTTTAAGATTTTTTTGTCGATTGAAAATATGTACAAGGTGAAACTTAAGACAAATCAAAATATCTTATATTAAGGACATGAAAAGGAGTATTTGTTGGCCGAAGCTTGCATGTTTTAAAACATGGTGTTACATTCTGTGTCGTACACGCTTTTTTCGTTCTGGCAATCCTACAAAATTCCATGCAAATTTTCCTCAAAAAGAAGCATTTTAAAGACTAGAAATACTTAATTGATTCGTGAAGCCTTTGGAAAACTATTATAGATAAAGTGGAAATAAACATATGAAAGAAAGAGAATCTCTTTTTCCTAGATAACAACTCGCATTCCATATTAATCACGCAGTTGGTGAATGAGAATTGCGTGGAGAGGAAGAAAATTACTGATCGGGTATAAACAATTATACGACGCTCTCTTCATATCACAATAATAATTCATTTTGTTGAAATAAAATTAGCAATCTATTGGGTAGTACTAATTGAAATAAAAATAAATAAGTCAAGTGGTACTAGGCCGAGGCTTTCGATCGGATGGGCGCCGAAAAAAGACCATTTCGTGTTTTTCTATTCAGCTTAGAAAAATATAAATTTATTTATTTTTTTGGATTTAAGGAGTATGATGAACTAGCAATTAATCCACATGCATGCTAGAGATCATCTGAAACTCAACATTTACTAGTAAATTAGTATGGTGCGCATAGTGTTGTACTCCCTCCGTTTCATAATTATTGTCTAATTTGAATTTTCATTTTTAGTTCAAATTGTACTAAAAGTGAAATCTCAAATTGGACAATGATTTTGGGACAGGGGGAGTATCATGTATGTACGTAACACGTAAATACTTACACATGTTATATACTCCCTCCGTCCCATAATTATTGTCCTATTTGGATTTTCATTTATAGTTTAAATTGTATTAAAAATGAAATCTCAAACTGGACAATAATTTTAGGACAGAGAGAGTAAAATTTTGGTTCGTAAATTAAAATTGTTTTCTAAGTAATTGAAGCGACAAGTATATTACGTTTGGTATCAGCACTTAAAGGTGATCTTCTGTACCCTAACCAATAAATTCAATAGTATGTGTTTAATTTTTTTTCCCTTTAAAAAAAAAGCTCAGAAGCACAGTAATGTCTTTTTGAGAATCAAAAGCAATTATTCGTCGTCCTGTATAGTGACAAACTTGACCAGAGGACAACGTTCACTTAGCTCTGGACGGGGTCCTAGTTTAGCTGCACTTATTTAGTTATATTTGGTGGTTTGAACTTTGAACAGTATGTTCCGCCCCATTCGTATGGTCAATAAGAGTCCACAATATCCTGATTGATTATTTTATCATAGAGCTGTCCAAATGTTTATATATAATATAGCAATCGAAATTAAATGATCATTATTATTGACGGTAGACACGTATAATATATAAATAGAAGGAGGTAATTTAAAGCTCAAGTTGTGAGAGTTTGATACCATTAAGCAAGGTGTGGTCCAAAAATAAGTTACTAATAGTATTGGAAGACTTTTGCCCCCAGAAAATGTCTTTGTTTGAATTTAAGCAGGATGCAATTTTTCCTTTCTTTTTTTTTTTTAAAAAAAAAACTGCACCCACTGTTATAGTTTTCAAACATTATATTGAAACTTTATTCGAGTGGTGAAATTAACCGAAAAATGACTTCTTATGAATTAATTTATTCGAGTTCAAAGTTTGAAAATTAATAAATGAGAAAAAAAATTAATTCCATGATGCAAACGTGTATATAATATAGATTACTTTACTCGATTTGCAAGAAGGCTTATTTTTATAGTATTCATGATTTATTCTTACTTCCAACATCTTTTTACGAAAATCAAGTTAGTATTGTTATTATTATATAAAATAAATTTATGGTCCAACCTTCTTTTTCTTTTTACTTTTATTTTGAAAAAAAATGGTTGTCCAACGTGTTCATATTAATTATCCAACTGCTTGGTATAAATTATCCAACCATTTTTTTTCTCTACTCTTTACGAAAATCCTTGTCCAATTTTTTGTACCACTATCCAACCATTTTGTATTGGTTATCCAATCGTTTTCACTGATTATCCAAACATAATTTCTCTTCTTTTTTTTCTTTTGAGAAAATATGTGTCCAATGTGTTCATACTGATTATCCAACTTCTTGGTGATGGTTATCCAATCTTTTTTTTCCTTGCTCTTTTATGAAAATGATTGTCCAATTTTTTTGTATTGATTATCCAGTCAGTTTGTACTTCTTATCCAATTATTTTCACTGGTTATTCAAGTGGTTTGTAATAGTTATCCAATCAATTTTTCTCATTTTTTTTCCTGAAAAAATGGTTGTCCAATATCTTTGTACTGGTTATCCAACACAAATATTCGTTTCTGTCTGGAGTATTTTAATTTTTTTATTTTTAGAAATTAATATTCGATATTGATCTTATCGGATAGATCTCGTCGAGTACTATAAATTTCATATATAATTTATTTTCTAATTATTCACGGATCAAGATATATAAGGAACACATCAATATGAATGTAAAATAAGTTGGTTATCCATCTTCTTAAATTAGATATCCACCTTATTTCTGCCCATTAGAATTTAATCATTTTTAAGTCCGAAAAAAATATTTAATATGGATCTTGTTGGATAGTTCTCGACAAGTACTATAAATTTCATATATAATTCGTTCACAAATTCTTCACAAATTGAGAGATATATTCCTTTGAATATTAGAGATGTTTTTCTGGAAGGAAAAGAAAAAAAATAATAGGGACTAAACTTGTAAATTATAAGAAAATTGAGAAAAAAGTACAATAAAACTAGTAGTACAAAAAATAGGAAAGGAGTAGGTACTCCCGAGTATACTGGATACAGACTCCCCTTTTTACCGATGGAAGCAAATGATAATGCAACTTCTCTACCGCGCTTCATCCTCTTCCAACGCCTCCTCCACTGATTTTTATTAAATCAGAAATCAAAATTCATCTTCAACGCCTTTTTTTTTTACAAAACCAAAACTGAAATTTTCCTTAGCCGCGGACCATAATCAAACAAGTCCGTAACTTATATAGTATTTGCGTGAACTAGCCACCCCGCCGTGGGAAACTATCCGGGTTTGATGATTCTACACACGAGTTTTGACTTGGTTTTTGTGTAACCATTTAGTATTTTATAACAACAACTAGGAATAATTTACCTCTGAGAGTTTGCGTTTCCCTGATCACTTCTTGAGTTTTTCTCCCACCACATTAAATCCAGTAGCTAGTTTATTTCTTCTTATGACATTTATCCGCACGAGTTAGACCAAAATTTGCTAGAAAATTCAATGGTTTTACGTGTCAAAAGACATAGAACATGCAAATATAATCACAAATTGTTGTGGTTTTGATAAGTAGTACAACTCTTAAACAAGTCTGCTACGATTTTAATTACGTACCACAATCAATTGTACTACTATATATATACCAATACGTAGTTGTCTAGTAGATGAGATAAGATTGAAAAAAAAAAAAAAACAATGATGAAGGAAAATTTGCGTAAACTTATTATATGCTTTATGTTAGCAGTAGGGTTCTTGTTAATATCATCATCAGATGCTGCTGTTTCAGAAAATATCTGGGAAAAGATCACAGCAATAAACAAGAAAGGTCCATACTTGGGCATTGTGGTACCGAACAGTTTTGAGATGAGCCCTCTTCTCCAATCTCCAAGTTTCGTGCCTCTCAAGGCGCTTCCTTACCTCGACTTTGCAGGTAACTCGACCCCTTACAATTTGCATTATTAACTGATGACTGCTATTATATTTGCATGCACCTGTGGAAATATAATAAAGTTACGGACATGGTCAGTCCTCGAAAAATAGTCCACTTTGATTCGTTGAGCTAAGAATGTAGTATCTAGCTATGAATTAAGCTGATGTTGGTATATGCGGTATGCTTATATTTTTTTCTAATCTACAGGGAAAAGGTTCCGGTTTGGAAGAGTGGAGAATGAAAGCGTTATCGTAGTTATGACAGGATTAGGCATGGTGTGGATTCCCATCTATTTATCTCATTTCTGTTTTGTGTCTCAATTGTATGAATCAAAAAGAAAGGGATAGTTTAACTTCAAGAACTGTCAAAACTGAAGAAAAATTTGTACCACCTGAGCAAACAGCATTGTCTAGTGTCTCAATTTTAAATGACTAGAATTTGCACTTGGAACTTGAAATATATTGCAGTGGAATGCAGGTATAACAACACAACTCCTGGTGAGTCTCTTCAACATCAAGGGCATTCTTCACTTTGGTATTGCCGGAAATGCAAATTCTGAACTGCAAATAGGCGATGTTACAATTCCGATGTATTGGGCTCATACCGGTCTTTGGAACTGGCAGGTACAAAAATACTCTTCTTGTACCAAAATTATTATCTAGTTTGGATTTTTTACTTTTAGTTCAATTTGCACTAAAAATGAAAATCTAAACTGGACAATAATTTTGAGAGGGAGAGAGTAATCAGTACCATGATTTTTTACCTACAATTGTGACTGCTCTCAAGCAATCAAATGGCCATCTTGATGAAATGTGAAATTATTAGACTGATCTTCATGCTTCTCGTATTTATGGAATTGGGCAGAGATTTGGAGATGGAAGTGATGATGAACTAGCTCTAGAATCTAATGGAGACTATACAAGAGAAATTGGTTACCTTAAGTTCTCTGATTTCAACACTAACACCTCAGTTGATAACCTTCTAAACAGAGTCTGGTTCCAGCCAGAGGAAGTCTTTCGAATTGATGGAATTCCAGAAATCAGGCAACATGCCTTCTGGATTCCTGTCAATGACCGATACTTTTCACTTGCAAAGAATCTCGAGGTAATCTTCAACTCCCTCCTTCATTCATTTAGGAAGTACTGTTGAACTCAAAATTCAAAATTCAAAAAAAAAAATTGTCCTGTTTTTTGAATAGGGATTGGAGTTAGGAGCCTGCGCTAACAACACAACTTGTTTACCAAGAAGGCCTAAAGTGATTCGGGTGGAGAGAGGGATTAGTTCCAACATATTCGTAGACAACGCGGCATATCGCGAATTCTTGAATTCAAAGTTCAATGCAACTGCAATAGACATGGAAAGTGCAGCAGTTGGACTTGTCTGTCTTCAACAGAGGATCCCTTTTATAACAATGAGAGCACTTTCTGATCTAGCCGGTGGTGGTGATTCTTCCATGTCTAATGAAGCCAATACTTTTGCTCCATTGGCAGCTAACAATGCAGTTGATGTTTTGGTTGCATTCATTTCTTTACTTAACACACGGCAATGGTGATCGATGATGATTTGGCATCAATAAGTTGAAACCTTCTTCTTTCATTGGGTAGAGGGTTATTCCTTAGTCAAAACTCCAAGACTAAAATGTCGAAATGGTCTTTTACATTTGAGCTTAATTGAATTTACGTCCCAAACATTAATATTTTAATATCGTAGTCCCAAATATTATGTTTTCACACTTTTTTGGTCTCATTTCACTGTTTCCGGCTGTTGACATTCCAGAATCAGGGGTATTTTTGTCTTTTAATTTAATTTGAATTTTTATTAAAATTTAAATCATTAAAATTATTTTAAAATTCAAATTTCATTATTTAATTGTTAAAATATTATTTATTAATTAAAAATATTATTATACAATTATAAAATTTATCATTATTTTCAAAATTAATTTTTTCATTTACTATTTCCTTTAAGTACACAGTAAATGATAATTATGTTACATTTTTAATTTTTGACCCACAGTAAATTTAAAAATTTACCAAATTATAGTAAATAATTCAAAATTCAATTTTTTTTTTTAAAAAGAGAAAAAGCAAAACTAAGATTTTTTTTTTTAATCTGACCACTACAGTAAACCCTTAATGGTACTTATGTCACACTTTTAACCTTGGGTCTACTGTAAATTAAAAAATTACCGAGTTACAGTAAATAATTTAAAATTTAATTTTTTTCAAAAAAAAGGAAAAAACAAAACCAAGATTTTTTTTTTTTACTCTGACTACTATAATAAAACCTAAATGGTAATTATGTTGCACTTTTAACCTTGAACCCATTGTAACTTTAAAAATTTACCGAGTTACAGTAAATAATTCAAAATTCAATTTTTTTTCCAAAAAAAAAAGAAAATCAAGATTTTTTTTTACTCCGACCGCTGTGTTGCTTTTTTAACCTTGGACCCACTATAACTTAAAAAATTTACCGAGTTACAGTAAATAATTTAAAATTCAATTTTTTTAAAAAAAAGAAAAAAACAAAAAAAAGTAATTGACCGCTATAGTAAACCCTTATGTTATACTTTTAACCTTGTACCCAATGTAACTTAAAAAATTTGGCGAGTTACAGTAAATAATTCAAAATTCAACTTTGGTGGTCAAAGTAAAAAAAAAAATCTTTGTTTTGTTTTTTTCTTTCTTTTTAAAAAATTAAATTTTGAATTATTTACTGTAACTCGGTAAATTTTTGAAATTATAGTGGGTCTAAGGTTAAAAGTGTAACATAATTACTATTTAGGGTTTACTGTAGCGGTCAGAGTAAAAAAATGGTTTGCTTTTTTTTAAAAAAAAGAAATTGAATTTTGAATTATTTACTGTAACTCGGTAAATTTTTTAAGTTAAAGTGGATCCAATGTTAAAAGTGCAACATAATTACTATTTACTTTAGGTAAATGATAAATGCAAAAATTAATTTTGAAAATAATGTAAATTTTAAAATTTTTATAATAATATTTTTAATTAATGTTCCGTCTAGAGTAGCATTACCCTTATTTTTTATACCCACTGGGAATTAATAATCTGTGAGCTCTGCGTTTTCTATTCAATCTTCCGGGTTTGGTGATTCTGCGCACCACTTTTGATGTGTAACCATTTGTTTTTTTTTTTTTTTCTATAGCCACTGGGAATTAATTTAATCTCTGAGTCTGCGTTTCCCTCACTTCTAATTGAGTTCGTTCTTCTCCCTCCATTAAATCCACAAACAAATTTTTTCTCTTGACATTTGTCTTCACGAGTTAGACCAAAATTTGTTAGAAAATCCAATAGTTGTCTAGTAGACGAGATAAGTTCGAATAAAAATAAAAAATATGAAGATCAAATTGCATAAACTTACAATTTGCTTTATTTTAGCAGTAGGGTTCTTGTTTTTATCATCATCAGATGCCGCTGTTTCTGAAAATGAGTGGGAGAAGATCGCTGCAATAAACAAGAAAGGTCCATACTTGGGCATTGTGGTACCAAACAATTTTGAGATGAGCCCTCTTCTCCAATCTCCAAGTTTCGTGCCTCTCAAGGCGCTTCCTTACTTCGATTTTGCAGGTATTTCAATGTTTGCATTATTAACTGATGATGATGACTGCTGTCTACTGTATTTGTACTTGCGAGAATATACAACGTTAGGGACGTTGTCGGTCCTGGAAAAATAGTTCACTTAATTTGTTGATTGAAAGAAGTAGTATCCATCTAGCTATGAAACTGATGTTGATATATGGACACAGGGAAAAGGTTCCGGTTTGGGAAGGTGGAAAATGAAAGCGTTATCGTAGTGTTGACAGGATTAAGCATGGTGTGTATTACCACCAATTTGTCTCATTTCCATGTTTGTCTCAATTGTATGAAGCAAAAAGAAAAATAGATAATTTAACTTCAAGAACAATGTTGCATTGACTACTACAGCATTGTCTAGTGCCATAGTATCGCTTTGATCCACCAACTGCTCTTGTTATAGCTTTAATTGAATAGGAATTGCGCTTGGAATTTGAAATATGCATATATATTGCAGTTGAATGCAGGTATAACAACACAACTCCTGGTGACTCTCTTCAATATCAAAGGCATTCTTCACTTTGGTATTGCCGGAAATGCGAATTCTGAACTGCAAATAGGTGATGTTACAATTCCGAGGTATTGGGCTCATACCGGCCTTTGGAACTGGCAGGTAAAAAATTAATCAGTACCATAATTTTTACCTACAATTGTGACTGCTCTGCAACAATCAAATTGGCATCTTGGTCAAATGTAAAATTATTATGATCTTTCATCCTTCTTAGTATATTACGGAATTGGGCAGAGATTTGGAGATGGAACTGATGATGAACTAGCTTTAGAATGTCATGGAGACTACACAAGAGAAATTGGATTCCTTAACTTCTCCGATTTCAACATTGATGATAACCTTTTAAACAGAGTTTGGTTTCAGCCAGAGGAAGTCTTTCCAATTGATGGCAATCCAGAAATCAGGCAGCATGCCTTCTGGATTCCTGTCAATAACCGATACTTTTCACTTGCAAAGAATCTGGAGGTACATATATATCTTCATCTCCCTCCCTTCATTCATTGATCAGGAAGTACTGTTGAACTCAAAATTCAAATAAATTGTCCTGTTTTTTTTTTTTAAATAGGGATTGGAGTTAGGAGCCTGCGTTTACAACACAACTTGTTTACCAAGAAGGCCTAAAGTGATTCGGGTGGAGAGAGGGATCAGCTCCAACACATTCGTAGACAACGCGGCTTATCGGAAGTTTTTGAATTCGAAGTTCAATGCAACTGCAATAGACATGGAAAGTGCAGCAGTTGGACTTGTCTGTCTCCAACAGAGGATCCCTTTTGTAACAATCAGAGCCATTTCTGATCTAGCTGGTGGTGGTGATTCTTCCATGTCTAATGAAGCAAACAGTTTTGCTCCATTGGCAGCTAACAATGCAGTTGACGTTTTGACTGCATTTATTTCTTTACTAAAACATGAGTATGATGGTGATGCTAGCTTTGGCAGCAATCAGTTGAAACGTTTTTCTCCGCAACAACATTGCACGTTTGCTTTTCCGCAGAATCCGTCTGGTTGTATGGATTTGGATTTGATTTGAACACAAATGTCTACGGCAATGATTTAGACGTTATTGACATGTATGCCAATGTCAAATCCCTTCTTTGGCTAGAGCAATGTTGTAGCATGTACTAGGTTGTAAGTCCAAATCATGTGTTTGTTTGTATAGTTCAAATTGTGGAAATTTTTTTATTTATGTTAGGACCAATAAGTATGCGTCTGAAACATTGAAAATTCTTTATAATTATCGAAGCCTTTTCTGAAAATTTTAAAATAAACAATGACTAATTTTTTAAAATAAATCAAGAGAGAAAGATTTAAGTGCAATTTCTGAAACTTTCATTCCTTCCCCGCGATGAACTCTACTTTTCTTTTTTCTCCTTTAAGTTTCAGCCTCGGCCACCGCAACTTTTAATTTTGGGTCCCAAGCGGCAGATGTTATGAACAAACTAAAAATTGTAGCAGGACGAACAAGAACTATACGCATTCAACTCTTGTAACCATGTTTTCATGCAACATTATCAACATCTCCTCATCTCATTAGAAAACAAAACAACAAAAAAGCCAGGTGAACGAACATTCTTTCTGTTACTATCTAGGTGTTCTGACAAGAAGTCATTTCTCTTTCTTGTCCAAACATGCGAGCTGCCACAAAGATATGCCATGTTTCAGGGTAATTTTCAAACATTTAGATGATTTTGTACGCTACAACAAGCTTACACCAAAAAGGAAACCAGTACTTCTGATTTTGTCCACTTACTGCCTGACATAAAGGAAGTACATAACTCTACTACAAGAGGTTTCTGTAGAGAAGATTGCCGCCAAAAAGTACTGGGTAAGATCAAGAAAACTGAGAACATAATAAGGTATACAAGAGAGCAATAAAATGACTAAAACACCAAACCTGTAGTCAACAGATTTCACAGGAGCTGCTACATCAAACCACAAGAACGCAAATCAACAAAGAAAACCGCGAAGAAGCCACTGCATCACCATCCTTTTCCAATAACCACGAACCTGATCCTTGGGTTTTTAATGTTCGCCCTTTGCCATTCTTCCATATTATCCTCATGGAGCTTTACGCACCCCTCACTTCCTAGGTGGTACACTTAAAAAACAGAGAAAAGAAGCACACATCAAGGAAATAAATATAGAAAATGACTAACAGGCAAGAAAGGCAGCAGCAGAGAGATCAAAAAACATACCACTGACAAACATCCCCATAATGCAGCCTGGCATATAGCCCTTTTTGCCAAGTATGCAACTTCAGATACCAAAGTACCGCTTTTGAGCCTACTACTTAAAAAACCATATATTACTTTGTTTCTAAAAATTCGACAGGAAAAATAGCACCCAACAGTAGGAACAAATTAAAGTAAGAGTATAGGAGAAGGGAACATACTCAGAGCTCAGGCCAACTCTACCACCTGAACGAGATCCAGTTTGAGTTCCCGGCTTAGAGCGTTTGTAACTACTAGAAAAACAAGAAACCAGTTTGTTTAGCTCCCAACACAATCTAAACGAAGTCTATACAACTTCTTTTTCTTGAAAAAAAAAAACGACTGATGACAACAACTAAACAACTGATCAAGGTCTGATGGACGGTTCTTTGCAAGCTGGCCTAAAAGTCATCACAATACCTTTCCACCGCGCCAAGAGCCGAATTTGAGCCAGATCCAGTGGCAAATGTATCACCGTTAACCAGTGTACCATCAGCACTCATGCGATATAGGCCACGCTCCTGCACACAGAGATTAGGATATGAAAGGTTCAACCACAGAATGCACAACCAAATTAAAAATATAGAGAGCAGAAGTACCGATTCGTTCCACACGGCGATCAGTATTCCTAATGACAAACGATCCGGAATACCCGAAAGAGAATCAGCCAGCCAGCTCGATACCTCTGCAAATGTAGATCTCCTTCCCTTCATCCGTTCTTGTAGTAACTGCAACACATACCGACCAATCATTTCTTTATTTTATTTCCTAATTCTTTTAGACAAAAAGTGTCAAGTTACTTTTCTTGGCTTGTAATAAAAGGCAAAACAAAGCTCTTATGTAAATTGTAAACTATCTAGTACCTTCTCTTGCAGAGGTTTGAGCAAAGATTCACTCCCTCCAGATATTGTGACCAGCATGTCAGAGTTCAGTTGAACAACATTTGGTGCAGCTAATTTTGGCAGGGAAAGTTAGTACAGTACATTTACAAAAAAGTTTAATCTGGTAAAAGAACTCACATTTGCCCGAATGATCAGCAGCTATCATAATTCCTTCTTCAACAAACGAAACCCAAAACAGTCGTTCCTTTTTCGAATTTAGGGTCCACCGGTTCGAAAGACTACCAGAAACAAAGAAATAATTATTTAAAAAAATAAAATAAAACTTACATATTCAACTAGGGATCAATTTTCGATACGACGAAACACCACACGATTTTTGAGTTTTTATTTCATTTTTGTTCTAAAAAATCTTATTAATCATGTAGAATACATAACACAAAATTGGCTGATAACTGAATCGATATCCCTAGATCAAACGTAGATAAAAAAGGTAAGCAAAGAAAAACTTACACCATCCTCGCGTAGATAAATTGGGTAAGTCGTTAAAGCTTCAACAGCCGGGCGTTTACCCTCTTTCATCTTCTCCAATGCGGGCAAAGCCAACGAATCCTTCAATTCCTTCAACAAACCCTTCTCATAATCTCATTCAACTCCTTCAACTGATCAACCGAATACTTTTCCAACTCCTCCATCTTCACCTGCTTCCTCTTCAACCCCTTCAAAATCCGGGCAAAACCAACAAAATTAAATTGATGTGGAATCTGGGCCTACTTATTTTCAAAGCAAATAATAAGATTAATAAATCTATAATACTCCTTCCGTACCACAAAAATAGTCCACATTGAATTTTGAGTTTTGTACTATTTTCAGTACAAATTTGAAAACTCAATGTGGACTATTTTTTTGGAACGGAGATGGTAACTAGTAAGAAAAAGTGATAAGAGGAAATAGGAGGTGGATCCAGCGAAAGTCATCTTTCGTACCTTGCCCTCCATACAATAACCCAGAGCTAGCCAATTCTTCCCCTTTTTTTTCTCTTTGATCAATTAACCCTAGCCGTGACAAAATTTTTAGCACGGAGCGTGGAAATGAAATTATGAATATGAGGGTGTTTGAATTCCATATGAAACCAAAACCCTTTTTTTTTTTTTTTGGGTTGCCAAATGTTGGATTTTGATTTGGACGCTCCAAATGCAAATTCAATGCCCCAATTCCAATCAAAACTCAAAATTGTACATTTCTCAGCATTTATTATTTTTATATGGACAATATAAGAAATATAAAAACCAAACAGGTTGAATTAGCGTTCCTATTGTGTTGTTATTTTGATTTCATTTCCATAAAAAATGGGAAACTACATCATACGTTAATTGTTTTAATTTCGTAAGTTTTCGAAAAAATGTGCAACAATTTGAAGATAAAATATCGTATATATAGCGCAATAATGTTTTCCAGTATTATGATGTTGATTTGAAAGGTAAGCCCTCGAATTTGGATCATTCATATAAGGATATTTAGGCCATTTAAGATATTAATTTTTGTGCACACCGATAAATGAGGATCACCCTTTGAACTCTTCTTACTAATGAAATCTGGTCTTACGAGAAATTGAACAAAAGCTTCATAATTTTTCTTTTCTTTTTTTTTTTTTTGGTTAAATGGTAAGATGAATTATTTTATGAATACAACTAACAACAACAACAACAACAACAAACCTTTATCCTACTAGATGTGGTCGGCTATATAGATAATATGTTGCTGTCGTGCTCGATCATTATATAAATCATCTCTCAAATTTAAATATTTCAAATCATTTTTTATAGTTTCTTTCCAAATTTTCTTCGGTCTACTCTTATCCCTCTTTATTTGAGTCCTTAATTCTATACTTTCTATCCTCCTACCGGAGCCTCCACCAGTCTCCTACGCACATGCCCAAACCACCTTAAGCGAGTTTCTCTCATTTTCCCATCTATCGGGACTACTCCTACCTTATTTCTAATACATTCATTTCTAATCCTATCTAACCTAGTGTGCTCACACATTCATCTTAGCATTCTTATTTCCGCTACCCGTATCTTTTGTTCATTTTTATATTTGGTAGCCCAACACTCGAATCTGTAAAGTATCGCCGGTCGAATGGCCGTTCGATAGAACTTGCATTGCAAACTCAATGGTACTTTACGATCACAAAGTATTGAGGACGGACTTCTCCATTTGTTCCACCCGATTTGAATTCGGTGTATTACATCTCTATCAATGCCTCCATTTCCCTCTATGATGGATCCTAGGTATTTAAAACTTTTAGATGTGTTCACTACATGTTCACCAATTTTAACATTTACCATGTTATTACTCCTATTACTAAAATGACATTCCATATATTCTGTTTTAGACCTACTTATTATAAAACCTATAGATTCTAGCTCCTCTCTCTAATTCTCTAATTTGGTATTTACTCCCTCCCTTGTTTCATCTATTAAAACTATGCCATCCGCAAATAACATACAATCGGGGATGGCCTTGCAAATGCTTAGTAATTTCATCAATTACTAAAGCAAAAAGATATGGACTCAATGCCGATTCTTGATGCAAACCAATCGTGATTGGGAATTCATCCGAAATCCCTGCCGAAGTCCTCACACATGTTGTTGCATTATTATACATGTCTTTTATAGTTTCTATATATCCCACTCTTACTCCCATTTTTTCTAACACTCTCCACATTATATGTCTATTAACCCTATCATATGCTTTTTCAAGGTCAATAAAAGACCATATGTAAATCTTGTTTTCTATCATTAAAGGATTCGCATAATCTTCTTATTAAGTGTATGGCTTCCGTTGTTGATCTTTCCGGCATAAATCCAAAGTGATTTTCCATTATGTTAGTTTCTAGTCTTAACCTAGTTCCTATTTTAAACAAAGGTATTAGTGTGCTCTTCTGTCATTAGGCATCTTCTTACTATTCATAATTATGTTAAATACCTTTGTTAGTCATTCACTCCCAAATTTACCTAGGCATCTTCACGTCTTTATTGGGATATCATCGGAGCCTACGGCTTTACCACTTTTCATTTTTGTATAGCTTTTTCAATTTCTTTATGCTGGATATTTTTCTATAGTATGTGAAGTTTTTATGATTCTCACTTTGCTCTATTTTCTCTAATGTTATTTTCCCTATTATCTACTTTATTAAACAATTTATGAAAATACTCTTTCCATCCATCTTTTATTATCTTGTCCTCAACTAAAACATATCCATTTTCATCTTTTATGCATTTAATTTCGGTTAAGCCTCTTGTCTTCTTTTCCCTTAGTTTGTAATTTTATAAATATCTTTTTCTCCCTCCTTAGTATCCAATTTTTTTATAAAAATTTTCAAAAGCTTTTATCTTGTCTCCCTTACTACATTTTTTCACTTCTCTTTTAGACTTTTTATATTTTTCCAAGTTCTCATCACTCTTACAAGTGTAAAAGACTTTGTAACAAGCTTTTTTCTCTTTTACTTTTTGTTGAATATCTTGATTCCACCACTACGATTCTTTATTACATTTATTACCTTTTGACACCCCTAATTCCTTTTTAGCAATTTTTCTTATGTGTTTAGTTACTTTTTCCCATGACTCTTTTTCCATGTTCCAATTGATATTTTCTAGTAAAGCTTTAGTAATCCTATCTTTTTTATCTTTATTATTAAGATCCACCTTTTTATCCAAGGTATCTTTGGTACTTTCTTTTTACATACATTAGTTTTAATTCTTAGATCTAAGACTAATAACATATGTTGTGTAGTGATTTATTCACTCGATATTACCTTACAATCTTTACAAAGATTTTTGTCACTTTTCTTTGTTAAGAAAAAATCAATTTGTGTTTTATTAGAACCGCTTTTAAATGTGATTAAGTGTTCATCTCTTTTCTTAAAGAAGGTGTTACATATGACAAGATCATATGCCACCAAAAGATATAATATAGTTTTACCCTCATTATTTTGTACCCCATAGCCATAACCCCATGCACCCTCTCATAATCCCCGTTGCCCTTCCCTACATGCCCATTTAAATCCCCGCCTATAAAAAGTTTTTCATTTTGAGGGATTGATTGGATCAATGACTCCAAATCCTCCCAAAATTTAGTTTTAATAGATTCGCCTATTCCTACTTGAGACTCATATACACTAATTATGTTGATGGATTGATTCCCTATATAATTTTTAAGGTTATGATTCTATCTCCTTTTATAACAACTCCTACTACGTGCCAACAAAAGGGTGGCCCGGTGGTTTGGGCTTTGGCATCCAACCTGGGAGACCTAGATTCGAATTATCCCCTTCTCCATAGACTCCACCCACACTAGGTACTTGTAATTGTGTGTCAAAAAAAAAATAAAATTATTACGTGATCTATAAATAATGAATCAACGATGATTCATACACCATTCCTATTTATATCTTTTCCGCTATACCAAAGTTTGTACCCCGTACTATCTAGAACTTTGTCCTTTTCCCTACTCATTTTGTTTATTGCAAACACATTATATTTATCCGTCTTCTTCTCATAATTTCTACTATTTCTAAGGACAAAGATGCAATATTTCACAGTAATAAGGGAAATGAGGACAAAGAATTTATCTCATCATACTAGCTAGGAGGGGGAAAATGGTCCCTATCTTTTCGATACGATGAAATTTTTTGCTCCCGCTTTTTAAAAGTCCGGGGGACCGCGCGCGAGAGGGAGAGAGGCAGCAGAGCAATGTCGGTACATAAACAACTCAACAACGAGAGAGAATCCATTCCTTCCGAGTAAAAAGTGTCCGAAACTACAATGTCTCAACTCATTCAAACGTTATTTTTTGGTATAAGAGTGTAAAGAAACAAATCATCGAGTAACATAAATTCCCGAACAAATATCAAATCGAATACAAGAGTAAAATTTACCGTGTGCAAAGCCCCGACAAGTTGTAATAAGTTTTCTTTTTTTTTTTTTTTCTAAAAGGTTGATGTTGACGATGTTTTTTGGTCCTCCACAACCCTCAATTCTCGTCTGTCGTCTATCGTCGTCGGCGGCCTTTGGAAAATGCTACGGTACACCACCTTTTGTATTTACCGGTTAGCTGCCGTGTCTACTTAATTTACACACGTGCTTAAAAGAGAAAAAAAAAAAAAAAAACTTTACGTCCTTATTCTCTTGTTAACGTTAAAACGTTAGAAGCTGCGATTAAGACATCAGCTTCGCAAATATTCGGAAACGTTTTTCTTTCTTTCCCAATAAAATGTTGGTACGTAACACTTTTTCTTATCGTCACAACACAGGCCAGTACTGCATTATAATTATTATTCCCCTCCTCCAAAAATCTCATCCACTCAAACGTTTAAAAATCCTCTCCTTTTTCATTAATCAATTATTTTACTACAACACAAAAGCTTCAAACATATATCGTCATTTACGTATATTTTTAGGCTAGGTATCCCTTTCTCTCACTTTTGCTCGTCTTCAGTAATACACACACACATATATAGATATATTTATATATATACATACACCATGGCTGCTGTAGTCACTGCTGCTGCAGTGTGTTTTCCATCGCCGGCGACGTCATCCAAGCCCTCTGCTACTTTTCTTTCTACCACAAATTGTTTCCTCTCTTCTGAAAGGATCACTTTTAAAAAGGTATATACATATAAGTACTCTAATTACATCTGTTTATGTTTCACTTTTCTTCATGCATGGCGCTGTTCATGATTGATATATGTATGTGTTATTTTGGCATGCAGGTTCCTGTACATTATAGAAAAAATGTGTACTCTGCAGGTGGGAAATTCATTGGAAAATGTTTGCCCCGCCGTGCACCCACAGGTTTGAGATTCAACCAGATCTGGTATACGGGCAGCTCATACTGCAACAAGTGTCTAAAGAAAGCTACAAAATTGAGGCATATTCCAAAACAAAAAAGAAATAATATTAAAAAAACCAAAATTAAAGAAATAAAATTTTAACTTTTTTTTTGTTTACTTAAGTGAAATTTATTCACCTAATTTTAGTTTTTGGTAATAATTATTTTTACTTAAGTGATAATTTTCAAATCTCTTCTTATACAATTTTCCAGAATTGATAAAGTTGCCAATTCTTTTACACTTTCTTGTGATATCGCTAATATTATTACTCCCTTTGTCAAAAAATAAAAAATAAAAAAATAGTCATATTGAGAATGGCTATGTGCAATCTATGCATTCCCTCCAAACTTAATACTCCTTCCGGTCCTTAATGTAAGACATTTTGATTTGTACTATGTTTCACCTAATATGTATTTTTTATTTTTTTTTAAAAAAAAAAACCTTAAAAATATGTCTTCATATTCGTTGGGTTCTCTTCATTGTTAGAAAATATTTTTAAGATTTTTTTTGTCAATTAAAAATACTATACAAGGTGAAATTTAAGACAAATCAAAATTCATTATATTAAGAACCGGAGAGAGTATTATTTTTAAAAAATACTTTTTTTTGTTTACTTAAGTGAAATTTATTCACCTAATTTTAGTTTTTGGTAATAATTATTTTTACTTGAGTGATAATTTTTCAATCTCTTCTTATACAATTTTCCAGAATTGATAAAGTTGCCAATTCTTTTACACTTTCTTGTGATATCGCTAATATTATTACTCCCTTTGTCAAAAAAAAAATAAAAAATAGTCATATTGAGAATGGCTATGTGCAATCTATGCATTCCCTCCAAACTTAATACTCCGTCCGGTCCTTAATGTAAGACATTTTGATTTGTACTATGTTTCACCTAATATGTATTTTTTATTTTTAAAAAAAAAAACTTAAAAATATGTCTTCATATTCGTTGGGTTTTCTTCATTATTAGAAAATATTTTTAAGATTTTTTTTGTCAATTAAAAATACTATACTAGGTGAAATTTAAGACAAATCAAAATTTATTATATTAAGAACCGGAGAGAGTATTAGACACAAACTTGAACTAATTTTAGTGTTGTTAATCCGTGCTTTATATTCAGGATTGGAAGGAGTATTTTGACAAAGAACCAGTCTTTTAGGGACATTTTGGTACCAAACAATTGGAATATTATTTTCTACACACGCAACCTCTCTTAAAATTGGTACTTAAAATAAATCTATACCATTTAAACAATCTTCTAAGTTAAAAGAAATGTTCTTTAAAATCAACAATATTTGATTTATTTTAGCTTCTTTTTACAATATAAACAAAAACCAAAATCTTTTCAAACATTATAATTTGATCAAATGTAGTAAGTAAATTAAGTCCTTAATCAACGAGATTTTTGTGACTTTGGCTTTTAATCAATATTTTTTACTATCACAATATTAGTAACTTCCCAAAAATAGTGACCTAGACCCCTAATTTTAGCTTTTTTTTTTTATATATATAAGAGTAGACCCTTTTAATTAATTTGGGAACAGTTTTATCATTGAAGTATTTCAAAATGAGGGTGAAATTTTTGTGTCTATAGTTAATTTATTACTTATCTAGGAAAATTACATTGTAAACAAATTACGTTAGCTTAAGCTAATAATAAGTGCTAGTCCTTCCATAAAGATATAAAAATTCACATTATAACTTGTGAATTGTACTATTCATATTGCTATTCACAAACTACAATGTGAGTTATATTTGTGGCGTAGAGAGAGTATATAAGAACCTCACACTCTCAATGTTTGATCGTTGCTTGTTTTTGGGCTAGAAATCAAAATTATTTAGTAATATCAAAAGTGATATGTCTCAACAAATTCAACATTCAATTTTCAAATGGATATGTTTTAACTGAATTATTCAGTTGAAAAGCAACTAAGGTACTTCAGAACTTTCCATATAAGCAATTGTGTGTGTGGTAATCGATCAGTTTTCAAAGAAATACACAATGCAGAATAAAATGAAAAAGAAGCTAATTTCGAATATCTCTTCCGGAGGATAGCTCTATTTGTAACAAAAACTGATAATTTGTGTTTAAGTTGTGATTCAACCGTTGGTTTATATATGCATGGCAGTTGCTGTTGCTGCTCTTAATGAAGATATTTGGGGAAAGATCAACGAAGTGAACCAGAAAGGTCCATATTTTGGTCTTGTGGTACCAAACAATTATGAGATGAACCCTCTTCTCCAATCCCCGAAATTCGTGCTTGAAAAGACTCTTGATTTTGCTGGTAAGGCAACAATATTGTAGTTCAACTTATGATTAATTAACAAGACATATATAATTAGAGCTAAGGTCCTTAAAAAATACTTTATTTTCTTGAACTGATGATGACCATATGCTTTTGTTTGTATCTGCAGGGAGAAGATTTAGGATCGGAAAAGTGGCAGATAAAAGCGTTATTATAGTCATGACAGGATTAGGCATGGTAGGCAACAGGCATTACCATCAAATAGTTCATATATTTCATCTGTGTCTCAAATTTTTCCTTTTTTGTTTCTTTTAAATGGCGAAAAAGCAATTGAACTTCCAGAACCTTAAAAAAGGGGGAAAAAAAAAGAGTAAAAGCGCGAAAGCTACGGCCTTATCAATAGCGTCACAAACACATTGTCAAACCAAAATACTGTCTCATTTTAATAGTACACAAGGTTGATTTAAAGTAATTTAACAATGTGTATCATTAAAATGCATTTTGTGTTAGAATTTCCTAGCTGTTTTTGATCAACACCATGTTCCATGTCTAACTGAAAAGTAATACTATCTCTGCCCCGAAATAATAATCCACATTGAATTTTGTGTTTTTAGTATAAAATTCAAAATTCAATGTGGACAATTTTTTTGAGACGGAGGGAGTATATAGCAATTGGAAGTTTGAAAATCCATTTGAAATCTATATATGTACATTACAGTTGAATGCAGGTGTAACAACACAACTCCTGGCGAGTCTCTTCAACATCAAGGGCATTCTTCACCATGGTATTGCTGGAAATGCAAATCCTGATTTGCAAATCGGTGATGTTACCATTGCAAAAGAGTGGGCTCATACGGGCCTCTGGAATTGGCAGGTATATTATTGATAATCATTTCCATGATTTTATTTTTTGGAAAACAAAATTGTGATCGTTTTTCCTACAAGCAGAATGTTGCGAGCAAGCAAATACCATCCGGTCTTGTTTATAAGACATAGTTTAAGAATTTAATTTAATTATGATCTTCCTCCATTTCTTTAAACAAAAATGTTTGCCACTGGCCAGAGATTTGGAGATGGACCTGAGAATGAACTAGCTCTGGAAGCTAATGGAGACTACACAAGAGAAGTTGGATACTTAAACATCTCCGATTTCAATAGTAAAAAGGAAGTCGAAAACTCTCTGAACAAGATTTGGTATCAACCAGAGGAAATCTTTCCAATTGATGGAACAATAGAAGAAAGGCAACATGCCTTTTGGGTTCCTGTAGATGAAGAGTACTATTCTCTTGCAAAGAAACTTGAGGTCAGCACTATATATATGTCTCCCTCCATAATTAATTAGGTCAATTAAGTAGTATTCCCTCTGTCTGGAAATCATTGTTCAGTTTAGACTTTTAACTAGTATAATTTATAATAAAAAAAAATTTAACTAGACAATAATTTTGGAACGGAAAGAATATATATTTGAACTTAATAAATTCGAAGAAATTAATTTTGCATTGTTGTTGGATATAGGCAATGGAGCTAGGACCTTCTGATGGCATTCCACCGGGTTTAGCAAGAAAATCTAAAGTGTTTTGCGTGGAGAGAGGGATTTGTTCGAGCACGTTTCTGGACAACGCGGCATATCGGGAATTCTTGCGTGACAAATTCAATCCAACTCCAATGGACATGGAAAGTGCTGCGATTGCACTTGTGAGTTTCCAACAGAGAATCCCTTTTATAATCTTCAGATCTCTATCTGATCTTGCTGGGGGTGGCTCTTCTGAATCCAATGAAGCCATCAATTATTCTGATCTCGCTGTTCAAAATGCTGTTGATGTTTTGATTGCATTCATTTCTTCTCTTTAGCTAGCTTGCTAGCCCTAAAAGATTAGGGCACCCCACCTTTTTCTATAAGAATAAGTGTCGTATGCACGGGTGATTTGCTTTACGCAATTTGTGACACGACACGAAGAGTCCGTGTGAAGCATACTTCAATAAATATTGCCCCTTCATGATAATGATGAACATAAATATTTTGCGAGTCATACATTTCCAGCGCAATTTGTACGTAGTTCATATATATTACATTCAGTTTACCTATCGCGAAAACAATATTAACACCAAAATGCAAACTTAACACATTTTTGACTCGCAAACAAAAAATAAATCAGAATTCCATCGCTTCATTGTTTATAGAAATATTAATGCTAAGGCCTCAAAATGGTTACTTCAATGCCAAAATTCCCAAATCGGAAGATTGCGCTCTCGTTTTTTAATTTTTTTTTTTTTCCCTTATTCACTAATTCACGTTGTGGGATATATGATCTCAACAAATGGCAGAATTGGCTGTTGGTAGTATTAAACAGCAACGCTGAAAATGAACGGATCCATTGTTCTAAAATCCTCATCGTCACTTTTTGAAATCTTGTGAAATTAATAGGTCCCATTTTAAGAGATCATGTAATGAATACTACCTCCGTCCCAAAAAAAAAAAAAAAAATAGTCCACATTAAGTTTTCAAATTTATACTAAAAACAGTTCAAAACTCAAAACTCAATGTGAACAATTTTTTTGTGGGACGGAGCGGGTATATAATCTTGAAGCCAAGGATGCATTCGACGAAACTTCTGGATGCAAATCTAATTTGTTTTAATATGTCGAAAGGGGTAGTTAGGATATTTGGCTGCTGTCCGTACAGAAAACTGCAAAATGGAGCATTTTTAAGAACAGTTGAAACGTTCTTACGGTACTACGTTAGCCGGCACGGTCGGCAACCATTTCTGCACACTTCTATTCTTGGTCAAAACACATGCAATTCTTTAGACTTTTATAATAATAAAAACAAAAACAGAAGGATAAAAAAACACTAAAATAACCCAATTGAATTACCGTTCCTGTAATCCATTGTATCGTAAATTTATTTGATTTCATAACTATAAGGTATCACATTACGCTATAACATTACACATTAAAAAGAACACGATAAAAAAAAAAAAAACCCAATACATTTCGAATATCACATATCCACGAATGTCACAACACGTGGATCGATCTCAACACAATATCCCCAGTAATCAAACAATAACCATTGCCCAGGTAATACATTAATTTTTTCGCGTTCAAATTTATAGCATTGTATATTTCTTGGAAGCATCACCGACTTAGGACAAAATGATGCGTTCCAATTTGAAATGATTCCCCAATATTATTTTGTTTTGATCTTTGTTAAATATATGTGGCTACACAAAATCCAAAATTCTCATAAAAATCTTCGTCTCTTGATCGAAGTATGCTCCCACACCAGACGGACGTTAATCATTTTCAAATTATTAAGAAATCTTTACCACTAAAAAAGGGTCCAACCGTTCAATTACATTAGATGTTGATTAATCTAAATGTCTTTATGTTTAGTTACTATAATTCATGAAAAGACAAATTACAGATTGAAAGAATATATTGTGAATTAGTTTAATTAAACAAAAACATGTGCAAGAAATTTTTATTTTATTTTTTTTTATCAACAACAAAAGGCTCTTTATTCCTAAAGGATAAAATGGTCAAAATACATGCCGTCCTTGAATTTTGGCGCCAGCGACAGTCGTTAACCCACTGAAAGTTATTGACTTCATCAACAACAAGAAGGCTCTTCATTTTAACGTTTTGGCTGAAGCAGAGAGATCCCTGGCCAAACTTCCGGCCATGTCCACCGCCAACCCTCCGGCTCCGGGCGAGATTCTTCAACAAGCCTCCGCCTTCCTCTCCGAAGTACTCTCTCAATCAGACCTCCGCCACCGTCTCTTCTCCACCTTCCTCCTTAAACTCCCATCATCAGATGAAACCACTCTAAAACCACTAAAGCTCGCCTCTGAAACACTTGAAAATGCCCTAACCACAACTAACCCTTCAATTAAATCTTCGTCTCTCCGGCTAGCGGAAAAGCTCCTCTTGTCTTACCCCAAAACCGCGTTTTCCTCATTCCTTTTGTCCCTAATTTATTCTTTGTTTAACCGTCCCATTCAGGCCGCCGTTAACCTGTTCGATGTATTTCAGACTATCCCTTCGTTGGCAAGATTGGAAATTGCACCCGTCCTGTTTGAAGAATTGTTTCTGATTCATTTTCTCCCTGTTCTGGAATGGTACAATGAACAGAGGACATCAATTTTGGCCAATGTAACGCAGCGTTTGGCTTCTTCAGGTTATGATAGCGATGATCAGTCGGTGGTTGTATCCCCGACAAGGTTGCTGAACAATATGAACGGGAATCAAGCCGAGGAATTGAAAGATTTAGAGAGGGATTATGAGAATATCCTTGATGAGAACTGCAAGGTTTTTGCTGCGTACTTTAGGGAATCTTTGCAAGTTAAAGATGGAAATCAAAACATTGATGTACCAGCGTTGGTGTTACAGAGAAAAGAAAGTGATAGAGTTGAGTACTGTGGGCTTCAGAAGATGAAAACACACTACAGCATTAAAAACCGACGGTATAATGTAATACCTTACTACCTGGAAGTTTTGCTCTTCATTTACTCTGCTTACTCTCATGCATTGCTATTCATTTACTTTGTGTTATTACTCATTGATAAAGAGAGAGGGAGACTTTGAAACTAATTCTTCTATTATATACGCATTAATTGGCAAGTAGTTACCACTAAAGGCTCGGACTTTGATCTAGCTTGACTACACTTTTATGAAACTTAGGACACTTTTTGATGGTATTTTCTGGTCTTATTTTCCTTAGGTAAACTTAGGACCGATGTTAAAGCATGTGAATTCTTTCTACAAGCTTAAAATTAATTTGAAAAAGCTAGTTAAAAATTGTAAATTCACGTCATTATATATTATGACTAGCTTAGGCATATGTCGAAGTCTGAGTTTGAGCAGTCTCCCATGCAGTCTTGATAAGGCTCATGGAATGCACCTTTTGGTGGGTTCTTTAGATTTGTGGTATAACGGATTGTTCCTGCTCCATGAGTACCGAAGAAAGTTCCCATTCAAAGAGCCAAAGTTTCATTTTTTGGCAGAAGACTTGAGTTATCTTTTCCTTTTTTGGCTCTATTTTCTCAAATCTGGTCACGCTAATTTCAAAACCATGCATGAATTTGGAACTAGTTATGAAATTTTGTTCCAGGCGTTGTGCTTATATCGTATGTTTCCTCTGGACACCATTTGGTGGAGATCCTTTTCCTCAACTTTTTGTTCAGCGCCTTTTTTTAGCACATTCAGACATTCTTGTCTATTTTGACTTGCAGCCAATATGGGTGGAAGATGATCAACCAGTTGAAATTAACAACAGCAACGGAGACAAAAACCTTTCCAAGTTTCCATCTTTTGTACCAGAAAGAGTCTCTCCACAAGTGCTGACAAAGCGAGGATCATCAAAGAAATCTAAATCATCCCTAAATTACAACTTGGATTCTGAGCTGGAGTCTTTTTCAAATGAATATTTGAGCAACTGTTACCTGTCAGACTCTGAAGCAGAACAAGAGGTGAATAACGCAAAAAGACAAATTTCTTTGTTTGACTGATTTTCCTATGTTAGCTTCACTTTCTGAAAAATCCATGTGTCTTGTAGGAAAACTTGGAACACTTTGCATCTTTTACCTCTAGGCAGAGCCGAACCATGGTACAACAACAGCCCGATTTTACAGAATCTAGCAGGTAGATGATACAGAAGCAGACGCAAACATTCCATTGTCTTGTATGAAAAACACTAACTTGTTATAGGTTTCCTTGTTGTGCCAGTTTTCCAGATCTACCAATGGAAGACATTGACAATCTGCCTGATGCCTCAAAGCTTACTCCCCCAAAAGACTTCGTCTGTCCCATAACCACTCATATTTTTGTTGATCCTGTGACCCTTGAAACTGGTCAGACTTATGAACGGAAAGCTATTCAGGAATGGATTGATAGAGGGAATTCTACTTGCCCAATTACACGCCAGACACTTCAAAGCACCACCTTACCAAAGACAAATTATGTGTTAAAACGTCTCATTGCCAGCTGGCTAGAATTGAATCCTGGTGCAAATCCTAAACAATCTGAAATCCCGCAGATAGAAAATCATCCAAAGCTCAGTCCAGTTAGGCGTGCTTCTTCCCCGAACTGTGTCATAAGTCAAGCCAGTATGGAGGGGAAGGTTTCTCAGCTGCGCATTGCAATAACTAACCTCTGTACATCAGAAGTTTTGGAGAATTCTGAAATGGCAGTTCTTGAAATAGAGAGGATTTGGCAGGAAGCCCATATGGTGGATGTGGATCTTCAGAATATGATGTCAAAACCTGCAGTGATCAGTGGTTTTATGGAGGTTCTGTTCAATTCTGTTGATCCTCAAGTCCTAAGTGCAACTGTTTTTCTTTTAGCTGAACTTGGGTTAAGAGATCATAGTGTTATCCAGACACTGACAAGAGTTGATTCTGATGTGCAATGTATTGCCTCTCTTTTCAGGAGAGGATTGTTGGAGGCTGTTGTTCTGGTTTATTTATTAAGACCTTCCGCAATAAGTCTTGTAGAAATGGACATAGTTGATTCTCTTTTAACAGTTCTCAAAACAAGAGAGGAGGATTTACTGAGAATGTGCGTGAAACCAAAAACAGCTTCACTTTTTCTGCTTGATCAGCTTCTGAAGAGTGGTGAGGACATACAGGCATCTGAATTTGCAAGGGTTTTGGTTTCTGAAAATGCAATTGAAAGCATTATGGAAAGCTTAGAAGCTGAATCCAGGGAGGAAAAGATTTTAGCAATGTCTATTTTATATAGATGCATCCTGGAAGATGGAAACTGCAGGGATAGGATTGCTGACCAAGCTGAATTACGTTCTCTTTTGGACAGCATGATTGGAGCAAATGGTGAAGAGGTCTTTGAGATAGTTCAGTTTCTATCTGAATTAGTCAAATTGGAAAGGTATATTTGTTTAGTTTTGTAAGTTTTTTGTTTGTTAAGTCAAAGCAAAAGCAACACCAAAGGAGAAAAGTAATCCCCCTTCTTCTAAATTTCTCCAGAAGGACCTTTAACGAACAGATTTTACATATCATAAGGGATGAAGGTAATTTCAGTACAATGCATATGCTTCTCACCCATCTACAGGTTTTACCCCCCGAAAAGTCTCCTGTTGTAGCTGGTCTGCTCCTCCAACTTGATCTTCTGGTATGTTTTCTCTCTCTCTTTGACAAACATGGATTTTCACTCTTTCCAACAAACTCTCGCACAAGGCACTCACAGAAACTCTACATGCAGCATTTTAGTGTATGTTTCTGTGTTTGTCCATTATAGCTCTTTGTAGTTGGTAAAATCTTCTGAGATTTTGGTTAAGTTATTGAAGTGCTTTTGAATTTTACTATAGGTGGAACCCAGAAAAATGAGTATATTCCGGGAGGAGGCAATAGATACATTGATTGCATGCCTCCAGAATGTAGATTGTCCTTCTTCTCAAGTAGCTGCTGCAGAGATCATTGTTTCCCTACAGGGAAGATTTTCTGATACTGGAGAACCTCTGGTCAGGGCTTTACTAATTAGACGTACAGGGCTATACAGAAGTAAATCCCGTATAAAGAGAGATCACCGTGCAAGCATGTCCGATGAGACTCAAGAAAACAAGGTTGGGTTCGTTGATCATAGCACACGCAATTACCTCTAGCTGCTATCTAGACGCTCTCTTTATCTTTGTTTATAGCAGCACCTGTACTTTTCTTCACATTTCCTTTCTCTTAACCATGCCTCAAATCCATAAAATTTCCAATTTCATGACACCCTACAATCTTTTAGCCTGAAAACATGTCCTCTGCATTTCTGTTTCTGTTTCTATTCTTAGGAGGAAGAGAAATCTGCAGAGGAATGGGAGTGGAGGATGGCTTGTGCTTTAGTCAGCCATGAATTCGGTTTAATATTTGAAGCCCTTGCAGATGGCTTGAGAAGTAGAAGTGCAGAGCTTTATTCTGCATGCTTTGTTGCAGCCACATGGCTTGTGTACATGCTTACCATTCTTCCAGATACAGGGGTGCAAGGAGCTGCACGCGGATGCTTGCTGAAGCTTTTTGTGTCAATTTTTAAGTCCGCAAAGGACAATGAAGATAAAGCCCTATCGATGCTTGCATTGAGCAGCTTTTGCAGTGACTCAGGTAAGTATAGAATTACATATGATAAAAAGGTGTTTAGTTCAATGAAGTTGAGGAAATTTTCTATCAACAAAGAAGTAATTAGGAGGCATTAGTCTTACACTCTTACATAAGTATGTTTATTCTTGGAGATGTGCATTTTGAAAGAAGTTAAAAAGTTCGTGGTAGATACATTATAAGATCAATAAAAATCAGATAGAGAAGTCAAGTAAGAAGGGAGGAGGCCGGAAGTAAGCATTGCAATTTAGAAAAAGTACTTTAGTGCATGCGCAAAGATATTTTGCTTTACAAGGTTCAACAGCCACTCCATACACATGCTCTGCAACTCTTCGTGTGATATCATTTTTCAATGTCAACTTGCTTACAATGTTGGACATGGAAAAATCTCAGAGGGACTACATGACATGGCTGGCTACATGAAGGATATTTTGAAGGGCTTGAGAGAGCTCAAGAAGTCTTCCCCTTATGCAGTTAAGATGCTAAAATTACTGTCAGAGGAGAATGAATCTAGCGTTGTAAGTTATTTCTAAAACTTTCCATATATTTCTAATATTCATCTTAGAATATAATCAATATAGAGCTTCACGGACTTCAGGATATGTGGAATCATAAAGAAATAATTCATGGGGATTGCAGCGCAAATGGAGAAGTTCTATCTATTGTTTGCTTCAAAGAAAAAATTTACTCTGGTCATTCTGATGGTACACTAAAGGTCAGTTGGTGACTTTATCAGTCAGAAAAATGAATTACTGGATGTTGATTGAAAACAGAAATGCAGAAATCAACATTAAATTTGCTTTTCCGGAATCATTTATATGTGCCTTTGGTTATTGTGTCTGACGGACTCCTTCTATAAACTGTGAAGGTCTGGATCATTAAGAATGGAAGTCTACATCTGATACAAGAAGCACAAGAGCACACCAAAGCCGTTACTAGCCTAACAATACTGAACTCAGTTGAAAGATTATACAGCGGTTCACTAGATCGGACTGTGAGGGTAATGTGACGTTGTTTACTCCTGATTCCTGAATCATGATGATAGAAGTTGCGTAGCTGAAAGTTTGGGCATTTTCAAATTGCAGGTCTGGTCAATTCATGGAAAAGTCATGCACTGTGAACAAGTTTACGAAATGAAGGATCACATTAACAATTTGGTCATTTCAAATAGCATCTCGTGCTTCATTCCTCAAGGGGCTGGCATCAAGGTATGGTAAACATACTTAGGAACTCCATTTTTATTTAGGGAATTTGTTGAATTGGATTCGTTGGATCCATATCCAAATATTTTGGTTCAGGACAAAGTCAGTTTCTCATTTAGTTTTCGAATGATTAAGAGACCCTGCATCTTGTTATTGATTTTCAAAACGGTCATTATTTGCTTTGTAAGGCCCCTTGCTCCCAGAAACTCACTGAAGTTTGAAATAACTCTTTTTTTTTTTTTGTATTAAATGCTACCAGGTGCATTCTTGGAGTGGAGCATCAAAGTTGCTGAATCAACAGAAATATGTGAAGTGTTTGAGCCTAGTTCATGGGAAGTTGTACTGTGGATGCCTTGATAGTAGCATTCAGGTGCCATATACTAAAAACAGTTGTTGACTGAGTTCTCTCAATGAGAAGAGAGAGAAGTAGCCTGATGTAATTTTTTGTCACTTCCATTTCTGCTGCCTCTCAGGAAGTCGATTTGGCGACCGGGACAATCAGCACCATTCAAAGTGGCTCTAGAAAACTGCTAAGTAAATCAAACCCCATACATGCGTTGCAAGCCAGTGATGGACTGCTCTACTCGGCTAGTTCTCCATTGGACGGAGCTACTGTAAAGGTACTTCCCACAGAATCAACGATCTTTCTGAATTTGGCATCTCGTGTATCTAGTCTGTTGAATACATGCCAGAAAGCATATTCCATTCTTATCTTGTGAACTGCACAAGTTATGTGTCTCATCTAATATGCTAACACTTGAAAACCTATGGCAAAAGATATGGAGGACATCAGATTACAGCATGGTCGGTTCACTGCCATCAACATCTGAAGTGCGGTCGATGGCCTTAAGCACAGATCTCCTATATTTGGGGTGTAAAGGAGGTCTAGTAGAAGTTTGGTGTAAAAAGAAGCACAGTAAAGTTGAGGCACTCCATGCTGGTACAAACAGCAAAGTTCTTTGCATGGCTCTCACAAGCAATGAAGATGTTCTGTTCATTGGAACATCTGATGGAAAGATTCAGGTAAAGTAGCACATTCTTATTCTTCTTCTGTGTTTTATATTTCTGTGATTTACCAAAGCAAACTACGATTCCATCTTTTTGCAGGCATGGGAACTGAGTTGAAGTATGATGTAGAAAGTTAATGACCAAAATGAACAATTCTTTCATTCTTCGTTTATCCTCCACGCCAAATGTTCATTTAGAATAAGGTTGTCTGCAAATAGTAATCAGAATGTGTAGAGTTGGAGTATTGAAATGTGTAACCAAAACCTTTACCTTCCACACAAGGCCATTTTTGTTAGTGTGGACCAATTAATGTAAGTAACAGCTTTCATTCTTTGAATTCTTTGTTAATCGAGTAAATGAACATCATTTCAGTGATTGACACAACAGTTGTTACCTGGTTTAGTTCTGTTCTTACTTTTCGGTTCAATGTGATTCTGTTTCGTTTTCAAATCAGCGCAACTAATTACCTTAGAGTGGCATAAACCATTCAACAAAAGTTTTGTCAATAATTTAATGACGAAATTGGATTCTGAAACGTAGAGTACTGAACTTGAAAGCAGCCGATGCCGTCTACACAACTAAAAAGGGAAGGAGGAAATTTCAGTTGGAAATACTGATATTATAGTTTCGTAAAGAAATGGATATTATGCAGTGCGGATCCTGTGATTGGACTTCTCTAATGTTTCCCAACGCATGTAACGGAAGTGGCTTTTGTTTCTTTTACCATCATTTCAAACATCTGGTCACGAGAAACAACATTGTCCTCCTGTTCGACGGGAGTTAACTTCACGAGAGTTTTATTTGCAGGAAGTTTTTAACGTTTATGCCCCGTAGAAAATGCATCCGTTTCAGAATACGACGATTGTTTCATTTTTCCATGTCAAGCATCCCAAATGCAAGCCGATCATGACTGCACGAAAAATGTGAGAGGAAATGCAGGAAAGATATGATTCAGTTTCGGTTACACTCAGACAAGACAGCATATTGCTTAACCTCGGTTGTAATGAAATCGTCGAGCATTTCTAAGTTGTAAGTTGTAATGATATGAAAATGATCTGTCTCTTCTCTGTTCAATGAACTATGCTGCTGGTTAGGCAGCATATTCGGGTATGCTGTACAAGAGAGGAGATTCCAACAACTTACGTACAAAGCGAATATCTTATTCTTACATTTTTTAAGGCGCACTTTCACATCCGCCGCAATCTAGAATCAAGATAGACGAAAACTGTAAGAACTAGTGTAACTTTGTCCGTATCAGTTCTGCCGATTTACTAAATGGGATCTTTACACCGTTTTTATGTATATACATTTGCAGTTATACATTGGCTGTGATGTTATTACTCTCTTGTTTAGCTTCAATTTAGTAGAAGAAACTCTTGCTTCAAAATTCGACGGTTTTGGGAGATGGAGGATTCAGCAAATTCAGCTGAAACTTCAAAACATGTTACAAAGAGGAAAGGAGGCCTCATCACAGTGCCTTTTATCATAGGTACTGAAAACTTAGTTTAACATCTACAACTTAAAGTGCAAGTTGAATTACTTTCAGCATTTGTATACTTCCTTTTGTTGTTTTTCATCATCTTGTGGAAAAACAAAGATAATATTTTTAACAACTGCTAACTTGTCATTTTACAGTAAATGAGGGATTTGAGAGAGTGGCAAGTATTGGTCTTCATGTGAATATGATCTTGTACCTGAAAGGTGTATATCACTTTGATAGCGCCACAGGTGCAACCATATTGTTCTGGTGGGGAGCCATATCCAATTTCTTGCCTACCTTTGGAGCTTTTCTCTCTGATTCCTATTTGGGACGATTTTGGGTCATTGCCATTGGATCACTTGTTAGCCTGGCTGTGAGTAATCCATGATCTCATTCGGCTTACAGTTTGGGTCGTTAGTATTTTCCTTTAACTCTGATCCCCTTAGTGCCACTGATTTCTTGTCGAAATTGTTTTACAGGGACAAACAGCACTTTGGTTAACAGCCATACTTCCACAGACAAGGCCACCTTATTGTGAGCACTACCCACACAACTGTGTTAAACCAGACTCAGGACAGCTTTTGCTTCTCTTTTCAGCATTTGCACTCATGTCAATCGGTGCTGGTGGGATCCGGCCGTGTTCTTTAGCTTTTGGGGCAGATCAATTCGATGATCCTGACAACCCGAAAAATGAGAGGATCTTACAGACTTTTTTCAATTGGTACTATGCATCTGTTGCTATATCCGTCATGGTTGCGCTGATTGCGCTTGTAGCTGTTCAGGCTAAGTACGGCTGGGGACTGGGTTTCGGGATTCCTGTTGTGTTCATGTGTTTCGCAGCAATCATGTTCCTATTGGGTTCTAAACTCTATGTTAAGATCAAGGCAGACACAAGCTTGATGACAGGTTTTGCTCAAGTCATAGTTGTGGCTTGGAAGAACAAGCACCTAGTTTTGCCTCAGAGCAATTCACCTGGATTGTATCATCATGGCAAGGATTCAGAACTTATTCATCCCTCTCAAAGACTAAGGTACTCTTTATCTTTACCATAGAACAAGTTGCAGAAAACTGTCTTTGTCATTTGAACTTGTTTTTTCCTATTGGATTCAGGTTTCTTAACAAGGCTTGCATGGTAATAAGTGATCCAGTGAAAGAATCAAATCTTGAGGGTTCAGTTTTTATGGATCCCTGGAAAGCCTGCACAGTTGAACAAGTAGAGAACTTAAAAGCACTAATAAAAGTACTTCCCATGTGGTCTACTAGCATCATGATTGCAGTGACAATCAGCCAGTATCCATTCTTTATACTCCAAGCAGTCTCAATGGACAGGCGCATTTATGGAAATGTTCATATCCCTCCAGCCACACTCTCTGTCTTCGGTGTCCTGAGTCTGGGGATCTGGGTGGCTGTCTATGATAGACTACTTGTTCCGCGGCTATCTAAGTTCACGAAGAATCCACGCGGCCTTAGCTTTGAGCAGAGAATGGGAATCGGATTATTCATTTCTTGCATCGCCATGGCGACTGCAGCGCTGGTAGAGAGAAACCGGAGAAATGCAGCTATCAAACAAGGGGTGACAGAAAATCCACTGGCAGTAGTGAATATGTCTGCCTTTTGGCTAGTACCGCAACATGTGTTAATTGGATTAGCTGAGGCACTCAATGCAATCGGACAGATTGAGTTTTACTATGCTCTTTTCCCTAAAAGCATGTCTAGTATTGGTGTCTCTCTTTTTGCGTTGGGAACGGCTGTTGGGAATTTGGTGGGAAGTTTCATCGTGATGGTTGTGAATCGAGTTTCGAAGAGAGGGGGACACATTGGTTGGGTTGCAGACAACCTTAACCAAGGCCACTATGATTATTACTATTGGATTCTGACCGCTATAAGTTTGGTAAATTTTTTGTACTTTATGTCGTTGATCGCGTTCAGTAATTCTTGCACGGATGGAGAGTTGATTAGTAATGATGACAAAAGCGCCACAGGAGAAATAAAGCAAGAAGAGAGTGTAGCTATATGAATGTGATAGCACTTCATTTTTGTAGATGTCTGCTACATATTATGTCCTCTTCACGGATTGTTTGTATTATATTATAGTCTGAATAAAGTCACTATCCCTCCTATCATTTTTCCTTAAATTATTGTACATACCTTCTGTGATGGAGACATGCATAATCATAATGGTGGTCTCTTCTATTTCATTTTCCTGGATCATTCACAACCAGCGCAAATTAGAACCTTAAAGTGGCATAAACGTCCTGCTTAAGTTTTAGCAATAGATTAAGATGACAGAAATTTTGTTTAAACCAGTAAAGAAACAAGTGTACATATGTATTCTACCACTTTGTAACTGTTTTTAACTGGATTCTGAAACCCACCAGGTATTGAACTTGAAGCAGCCGATGCCGTCTAGACACAACTTAGAAAGGTATTTGGAAATCTTTCAGTTGGTGGAATCTTGTGATCTGATAAGTCAGTTTTGTTTCTTCCAGCCAGCCTTTTTTTTTTTTTGGTAAAAATTTCCTCATGAGAGAATTCCTTGTTCTACCAGACTCATATTCATGAAACATTGCAGAAACCTGCAATTTTACATCCCGTACAAAATGCATCCACTTCCGATATTCCCAGCAGGATATTTCAATTTTTTTTTATTTTTTCATTTCAACAGAACAACACAGTATGCCAAACACCAACCCATTTCAGCTGGCATTGTTTCTATATATTGATATCAAGTGCAGGCCGTATATGGGTCAGTAATGTTTCAATGAACTACCCTATTATGCCACAGAAACACATTTCGGGCATGACATTGAAGAGAGGAGATCCCAACAAAAGGTACAACACGAATGTCTTCCTCTTGACACTTCAAGTACCCTTATATCTGCCTCAATCTAGAATCAAAGTTGAGGAATTCTGTAAGAACCAACTTAGAGTATAGATTTGTCGGTCGATATTTATTTTAGATTTACGAAATCTACGTGTCTATAGATGTTGATTTTTACCAAGTGTACCACATGCAACTGCAGCCTATGGTAACGCCAGATGTCCATAATCCTGTAATGAGCTGATTTTCCATGGAGGTGATGTAACTTCTTATCGTTCGGAAGTCAAGAATCTGAATTAGTGTTTTTTCATATATATATATTTTCAAGTTAGTAGAGACATTTTTTGCCTCATGGATTCGACGATGGAGATTTCTACTAATTCTGTAGAAAGATTGAGACGTGGTACAAGGAAGAAAGGAGGCCTCATCACAGTGCCTTTTATCATAGGTAATCTCATTTGCTTTTAAACCTGTTGTTCCTCCTTATGCTTTTGATCCTGAAAGAATGTATATTTCTAACAACTGCGATTTGTAAATTTTGAAGCAAATGCGGGATTTGAAAGAGTGGCAACTACAGGCGCTCAAACAAACATGATCCTGTACCTGACAGGTCAGTATCACTTTGATAGTGCCACTGCTTACAACATCCTGTTCTGGTGGGGAGCCATAACAAATTTCTTGCCTACACTTGGGGCTTTTCTTTCTGATTCTTGCTTGGGACGATTCCGGGTGATTGCCATGGGATCACTTGTTACTCTTGCTGTAAGCAATTTTTTTATGATCTCAGTTAGCTCAAATTTTGCTCATTAGGATTTTTTCTAAAATTGGCAGACTGCAAAAAGCAACAAAATAGTAAAGTTCTGCAGGATTACTTTTAGGCTGTTGCTTTGTCTCCGAATTATAAGTATGAATATGAGCATTCTTCACTTAATGTTGCCTAACTTTTTCTGCAGGGACAGACAGCACTTTGGTTAACAGCCATACTTCCCAAGGCAAGACCACCTTATTGCGAGGACGATCCAAACAATTGTGTGAAGCCAAACTCATGGCAGCTTTTGCTTCTCATTTCAGCATTCGGGCTCCTGTCAATAGGAACCGGTGGGATACAGCCATGTTCATTGGCTTTTGGAGCAGATCAATTTGATGACCCTGACAACCCGGGAAACGGGAGGATCTTACAGACTTTTTTCAATTGGTATTTTGCATCTCTTGGTGTAGCGGTCATGATTGCTTTGACTGTTATTGCATACATCCAGAATAACCATGGCTGGGGCCTTGGGTTTGGGATTCCTGTATTGCTCATGCTTATCTCAACCATCATTTTCCTATTGGGTTCTAAACTCTATGTTAAGATCAAGGCAGATAAGGGCTTGATGGCAGGTTTTGCTCAAGTCATGGCCGTGGCTTGGAAGAACAAACACCTAACTTTGCCTCCAAGTGATTCCCATGGATTGTATTATCATAGAAAGGATTCAAAAATCATTCATCCCACTCAAAGACTAAGGTAATATTATTATGCCTTCCAAAGTTGGTAACTCTTGCATAAACAAACATTCGACATAATAATACAACTTGTTAAGGTATCATTAGGATTATATATATACTGCATGCTGTACTTTTATACTAATGTCACTTGAACATGTTGAACTCATTGTCTTTAGGTTTCTAAACAAAGCTTGCATGGTGACTGATAAGGAAACTAATCCAAATCCTGAGGGTTCAATTTCAGATCCCTGGAAAGCCTGCACGGTCGAACAAGTAGAGAACTTGAAAGCTCTTATTAAAGTAATTCCCATATGGTCTACTGGCATCATTCTTGGAGCAACATTAAGTCAGTATCCTATCTATGTACAACAAGCAAGCACAATGGATCGGCGAATTTATGGAAATGTCAAGATCCCTGGAGCCACGATGACTGTCTTTGCTGTTCTGAGTGTGGGAATTTGGGTGACTGTCTATGATAGACTACTTGTTCCTCGAATAGCTAAATACACAAAGAATCCACGAGGCCTTAGCTACGAGCAAAGGATAGGAATCGGATTATTCATGTCTTGCATTGCCATGACAACCGTAGCACTGGTAGAGAGAAAGCGACGAAATGTAGCAATTAAACAAGGGGTGGCTGAGAATCCATTCGCAGTTGTGAACATGTCAGTGTTTTGGCAAGTACCACAATATTGCTTGATAGGATTAGCTGAGGCATTCAATGCAATTGGACAGACTGAGTTATACTATTCTCTTTTCCCTAAGAACATGTCTAGTATTGGTGTTTCTATTCTTGCATTGGGATTCGCTGTTGGCAACTTGGTCGGAAGTTTCATCGTGATGGTTGTGAAGCGAGTTTCGGGGAGAGGAAAACACATTGGTTGGCTTGCAAACAACCTTAACCAAGGCCACTATGATTACTACTTTTGGATTCTGACCGCTATGAGTGTGGTCAACTTTTTGTACTTTATGTTGTTGATCTTGTTCTGTAATTCTTGCTCGGATGAAGAGTTGATAAGTGATGATGGAAAAGACAGAGCTGAAGAAACAAAGGAAGAAGAAAGTGCCAACAATAGCCTAGGTAACTATCACCATGTTTAAAGCCCGAAGTAGGTGGATGTGATTGATATACAAGATGATTCATTATTACTAATCCCCTTCTGGCCTTGTCCTATTCATTCCTCCTCATGGTGTTTACATGTTAATGGTTATAGCCGATGACAGGAAAAGAAAAAACTTGAACTGTAGTTTGTGCAACCTGAATTCGTTCCGCGAAATGACTTTTAGTTACTAAGATTACAAAAATCATAGGACAAGCATTACTACCCCTAGCTATCCCCATAAGAGGTCATGTTATAAGACAATCAAAAGATCAAACTCAAGTTCAGTTCTCTCATTGAGGTCGTGAATGTTCCTACCATGTGAGTTAAGGTTCGTTCTCATGTCACGCCAATATTATAAGTACGTTCTTAAGCATATATATAATCAACCTAGATTAAAAGAAACGTTAAAAACTCCAGAGAACCAAAAAGCACTGTGCACCTTAGAATCGACTAATCTACTCCTAATCCTCGTAATCTGTCTCTTCATCATCATCGTCGTCGTCTCCATTTCCGTGATATCCCCATTTATCCTCGAGTTCCTCTTTCTCGTCCTCTGTTTCTTCACTATCATCCCCTTCATCAAATGCACCATTCATTAACCTAGACTTTCCGGTTGCAATGCTGTTACCATTGGAGCTTTTAAGTTGAGGAGCGATTTTCGCAGGAGGCGATTTCAAAATTGGCTTAGCCCTGTTTTGCTTCTGCAGCATTTTCCCATTCCCGGGATTCACAGCCCGTGCAGCACCATCATCATCGTGACTTGCTTCAGTATCCACATATCTCCCAGCAACAGTTGATTTGGCATTCGCCTTCGCCTGCGTTCCATCCTTAAAATGATGCCCGGGATGCACACTTTTCAAATGAAGATTCAGCTTGTACGCATGTATGTAAGCTCTGTTCCCACACGACTCATATGGACAGACAAACGGGCGATCCAATGCCGGAGAGTTGTGAGTAACCGTGGAAGATTTGGGAGTTTTAACCAGCTTCAGGTCAGGGATCACCGGACTATTATTATACAGGGGAATTTGTATTTGTACCTCATTCAAAGCCTTAACATGCTGGGAAGCGATGTGATTTCGAAGCTTGGAGTCCTGAGCAAATCGCCTTCCACAACCTGGATAATGGCAAACAAAGTAATTCTCCTGAGAATGTGTTTTCATGTGTGATTTTAAATTAAAATCCAGGGAAAACGCCTTCCCACAGCCTGGAAATGGGCACTCGAATTCTCTCTTCCCAGTATGAACTAACAAGTGCCTCTTCAATTTTGACCTATCCAAGAATTTCCTCCCACAATTCTCGTAAACGCAATAGTACTGTCTCGGGCCGTGGATCTGTGAATGCTTCCTCAATGCTCCGGCGTCCATGAACGTTCTCCCGCAACCTTCGCTGCTACAGAGGAACAGAACCTCCGTCGTCGGTTCGGGTTCGGGTTCGGGTAATTCCGGTGGTTTCTTCTCTTCGATCGCCTTCAATGTAGCTTCGCTGACCCATTTTAAGAGCCGGCACTTTCCGCCGGAGGCGATATCTTGAGTCACCCATTCTTTCACCCACTTGACCGGAGGAGAAGCCTCGGGCTTGACGACGGGCCGCCTGTCGAACAGATTCCGACGCGTGTGCGCCGACGCCGACGCTTCCATATCCGCTGAAAAAAATCGCGATTTCGATCACTCTAGTAATAGTTGCAAAACAGAAAATCGGGTCAATTTTGACGAAAAATTGAGAAGCTTTGAAACCCTAAAGAGTTGGTATTTGGTAATTTTGATTATTGGCTACTTTGAGGCGGAATTCCCGACGGACGGTGATGATAGACAATAGGGTTTTTTTTTTTTTTTTTTTCCTGTTTCTTTTTTGCTTTTTTGTTTTTTGCCCCCTTTTTGGAGGGAACGGTGATACTACAGAGTACAGAGGAGCTTTCAAGCCTTCATGTGGAATGGCGACGATATAGGGGTATTTTCGTCTGGACAAACATTTCCCAAAATACACTATAATGTAATAAATAATTTTATATAAATTGACCTATTTCAAGGAAATCTACAATTTAACTTTTGTTGTCGATTTTTTATTTGTTTTTTACTTCTTAATTTTCTACTTTTATTTTTTTACAAAAAAAAAAAGATTTTAGTGAATGTATATTACCATACATTAATGATGCTATTGCCCCTCTACCAAATGATGGTTTTTACTTTTTAAGACATGCTTATGTGTGAGAGAATTGAGAAGAATAGATCTTAGAGAGCGTGCTTAAAAAATTCGAGGGTTAAGAATTTGGTTGCACAATGTCAATATTCACTATTGATGCAATTTAGATTGGACCAAATAAGTTGGTCGAATTTATTAATTAGCAAAATTGTATGGTTCGTTTATGTGAATATTTGAAAAACCGATTGTCTGAGCAAGAGTCAAGAGACGTATATGTAAAGTCTCTCTCTCTTTTACTTATTGAACCTCCTCCTCAAATGACTATGTGTAATAACATTGGTATTCCATGAACAAGAAGGGTATGAATTGCATTCCAACTTTAAGATATGCTTATTCTTAGGTTTATAAATCAACAACCATTTAGTACAAGGTTGCTGCATAAAGGGTGTTACTTTGGGGGAGTTATCAGAATTTAGAAGTTTTAATACTTTTGAAAAATCTTAATCTTCGAAATGTGACTATTCTGGGAGATTCCTCTGTTGTAATTCTTGCAACACCGGGGGAAACTGGTTGTTTGCTCTAGTTCTTGCTTATCAATACTTTTCGAGATTAGACATTTGTTAGTTGAGGTTTCTTCTAACGTTTTATATTGAATCCCTGGTCTCAAGAATGGTTTAATCCACATAGTTGCTACCTACTCTAAGTATCATTACTAGATTCTAAAATTTGGTTATCCCGGCCAAGTTTTTTGTATCAATCAAAACTGACTGAATTTTTAGCAAATCTGTTGAAGTATCTCTTTAAAAAAAAAAGGTTTATAAATGAACAAAATGCCCTCAAACAATACCTACCGATAGTAAGTATACTTATTGATGGAGAGGATCAGTTTAATGATTAGAGAAGGTTATGGTCTTTTGAGTGAGTCGCAGTTCTTTCTTTGGAAGCTTTGGTTTGAGAAAAATCCTAAAACCACACATCTACCTGTCAAGTTAGGGATTCGAATTTCGAAGGCTTGTTTTTAGGTAGCTTCAAGAGAATTTTACAGCCAATTTTGGCATGGAAAATTCAGTTCTAAGGGTCAACTTTCCATTAAATATATGCAAATTGATTTATTCAAATATTTGGATTCATTTTTAAGTAGGTGAATAATGAGAGGGTAGTTCCACCAAATCCTTCATTATCCTCTTTACCTGACTAACCAATAATATAAGGACTAATATCCTAACTCTTAATCTTATGATTAAGTATGAAGAAAAAGATTAATACTGCTTTACAAGCATTTCCTTGGAGTAATTATTATATCAGAGTGGCTTCAAAGTCACTTCATTCAAATCTTTAATCTTCCATTCTCACCATTCATTCATCCTATTGACTAGCTTAGCTATATACCTACAAGTCCACACAATATCATGGATTAGAAATAAAATACCCTACTACAAGTTTGTAGGCCAAAAGACAAGTATAGTACTATAATCACCATATTTATGGTCCTTAATCGAGTGCTATCTTTCTACACAAATTACAATTTTAATCCCATTACATTATACAACGAACTATGGAATATTTCCTTAAGATATGGATCCTCTAAATCCAAAAATCAATGACCAATACTTTGGTCCAAGGCTTTCACAATGGAAGATGAAGGACACAATTGATTGATGCTGATATACCAATTCAAAGGAAGAACTGACAAAATTCACAAGGGATTAAAAATTTAAAAAGAAGGATTGGAAAAGGATGTATATACATATATATATATATATGGAGTGAGATAGATATAGAACATAATGTTATGAAATGGACTGGGAAAAAGAGTGAACAGAACAGATGCATGTGGATTCATGTGACTATTACTGACCACACACACACATAATATGGCCAAAGCAACACAGAGTGTCACTCTGTTTTTTACCTCTATATTAATCACTTGGAAAGTAGTCAAGTACAGTACATAAACTAATGTAGTATCTATCTATCTCTCAATTCATCCATTTTTTGACTCAGACAAAAGACACAAACACTACTTTTTTTTTTCCTTCCCAGAATGAATCAATCAATTACTTACACTCTACTCCTTTGTTTGTTTTTTTTTTTCCTTTTTTTCTGTAAAAAAGATAACTTTCACATTCAATGTAAAATTTTTAATGAACAAATGGATCTAATAAGCAGAAGAAGCAATGTATATACTCCAGCATAAGTTGCAATCTCAGTGACCAGTGACCATATTCAATTGTAAATTCCACTTATTTAATGCCAAATGTAGGAGACAACTAAGTTAAGGAGTATATTCCCATTTATTTTAATGTCAATGAAAACAGACAATACAAATAATATAAAAACTGCGGAAAAGCATAAAAGGCACTACTTTATCTTTGTTGAAAAATACTTATAATATAAGGTAAGAAGATCAATAAAGATAGGATTTTTATTGTCTGTCTGCTGAAATTTTTAATGTTAATGTTTCGTTCACTCCGTGATTGATTGAATGATCATCATCATCCCCTAAAATTCCCTATACTCATTCAACCCTCTTCATAGCATTCTCATTCCTGTTTTCCCACACAGAAGCCTCACCCCATTTCTTTCCATTTACTCAAAGCTTTCCCTCAATTCTTTTTAGTGATTCTTTTTTTCCCGTGTATATATTGATGTACTAATTTTTGGAACACGAGGAAATCAAATAGGCTGTTTCTGGGAAATAGAAGAGAACAGAATTTAATGAGAATCATGACACGGCTTTTTCGATCCAAGTCTTGTACCCTGCCCAGTATCAACAGAAGTCCTGATTCTTCTTGGGAGCCCAAAAAATCAAACCCATCTCAGTATGATTCCGAACAAGAAGAAGAAGACGAAGATGATGAAGACGAAGAAGAAGATATAGAAGCAGAAGAAGATACAATGGAGGAGGAGGAAGAAGAAGAAGAAGAAGAAGAAGTGGAATACTTGAGGCTTAGGAATAGTAATAATAATTCAGGAGGAGATACTGGAGAAGAATATCATCATCCTTTGCTGGCAATTGTTTTAGCTGCACTGAGGAAATCCCTTCTGGTGACTTGCAGTGTGGAGAGGGATGATGTTGATGATGATGATGATGGTGGTGACGTGTCCAAATCCAAATCCAACCAGCTTGACATCAGCTGGCCAACTGATGTTCACCACGTGTCCCATGTCACCTTCGACCCTTTCAATGGCTTCCTCGGTTTGCCCCTGGACCTCCAGTATGATTTGCCCCCTAAAGTCCCCAGTGCCAGGTCTGAATTGCTGTCAAAGATTTCTGTTTTACATTTTCTTCGTTAAATTGGATTGAATTTGTATTCATTTTTGCAAATTAGCTACTACGTAATTGGATTTTTCAATGCAATAATTTGTCAAATTCTCTATCTGTTATGTATGGAGGGGTTTATTTGATTTACTGTGTTATCCATGACAGCTGCTTCTCTTCTGTTTTTATATTGGATTTTATATCATTGGAAATTTGTTAAGTATTGATGATTCTAAACCAGGCTTAATTGTTCCCAGAAAAGATTCGATTTTGAGCACAGATTTAAGGAACGAATCATTACTTTCATCAGCATACTCAAATCATTACTTTTCATTCATGGGGAAACTTATCCGATACATTACATTTAACACCTTTCTGAGATTCAACTGATAATGTTCATATTGATAAAACCTTCACTGATTTCTTGGCATTAGTTGATGTATTGGCATTTGACTTATAGAGTTTTTTGTGCATAATAAATTTGATGCATTGTTGTTATTCATCAATGACAAACTTGGAGTGTGTATATTATCATTAGATTCCCCTTTTGTTTGATTCTTGATCTTGTCTTTCTGCTGTGTGAACTCAAATGATTTGATAAAAGATGATGTCATTCTGTGAACTTCTCCCATTGATATAAGATTGCTGCCCGCAGTTTGTGTCCCTGTCTTTTTTTTTTTTTCTTTTTGGGTGTAAATGGCATATTTTCAGACTGCATTTACCCATTTCCCAACCCCTGTTGTCTGCAGTGCCAGTGTATTTGGAGTTTCAGCCCAGTCAATGCAATGTTCTTATGATGACCGAGGAAACTGTGTGCCAACAATTCTACTCATGATGCAGAACCGTCTTTATTCTGAAGGAGGCCTTCAAGTAAGTCAATTGTGTGTTATTATTGTTCTAAGTCCGCTCTACTTGCTTCCGTATTTGCTAATGGAATTCATTGGTTCCTATTTTTTTACTTTGGTTTCGGTTGAAGGCAGAAGGAATATTCCGAATAAATGCAGAGAATAGTCAAGAAGAAGGTGTTCGGAAGCAGTTGAATAAAGGAGTTGTACCACACGGCATTGATGTCCACTGTTTGGCAGGATTAATAAAGGTATCATCATTCGTCTCAGATTTTAAGGTTTAGTGGCAATTGGCATTCATGTCCTTTTCATTTTGGCAGGCGTGGTTTAGGGAACTTCCTACCGGGATTCTTGATTGTCTGACTCCAGAACAAGTGATGCATTGCAACACAGAAGAAGAGTGTGTGCGACTCGTGAATTTGCTTCCATCCACGGAGGCCGGATTGCTTGATTGGGCGATCAACCTGATGGCAGACGTCGTGCTTCACGAGCATTACAACAAGATGAATGCAAGGAACATCGCCATGGTATTTGCTCCTAACATGACTCAGGTAGATGCACCGGCTATCATTTCTTCCTTTTCAAAAATTATATGATTTAGCTGCAATATGATCGAGAACAACTTAGCCTATATTCTATTATGTAAGGTCTGCAATTTAATCACCCTGGTGATGCTTACATTGATGCAGATGGCGGACCCATTAACAGCTCTTATCCACGCTGTACAAGTTATGAACTTCCTAAAGACGCTTATAAACAAAACGCTTAGAGAAAGAGAAGAGACACGCTCATCTGACTTGGGTGTAATAATGCAATGTGATCAAGCTATTGATAATCAGATTGTGGACCGTTTAGAATCTGACTCGGTGGAGAAGTGGAATTTCAGGGTTAAGGGTGACACCGATAAGGTAAATGAATTCATACCAGATAGGATTGCCATATCATCACCTATTCTTTGTAAAAGCCAAAGCAATTTAGAAAGTTGTTATAGAGAAGGTAAAAATTTAGGAGATGAGGAGGAGGAGGCAGATGAAGAGGGAATATTAGACAAGCTTGGTTTGAGAAAACGAGTGCGAAAGCTATGCAAACATCCCATGTTTCAATTAAATAGACCAGTTAAGAAAAAAACCGATACCGGAATCTTGAATTCCAAAGGAGCTGGAGAGGCCTGGATATAATAACTTTGTGGAGTACTGTTTTTTGTTACTCACTGAAGTGACATTATACTATGATGATAGTTGTAGTAGTAGCAGAAGTACTATTAGTTTTGATCGATAAATTGTAAAGGGGGCCGTGTGGTGCTAATGATATGGTGTTATCTTGCTGGATGTTAGTTAACTGTATCTGTTTAGGGTAACCTTTCCTATATGCCTGACCATTCCTGCAATTAATTAATCCAAGGTTGGTAGCTGTTATTTTCCCCCATGAGTGATGATGAATAAGTAGCCAAAGAAGCCTAATTTTTGATAGGATGATATGAGTGTGTAGCTGGGCAGTTTGTACAGGAACTGAGCAACATTTTGTTTGTGTGGATGAAAAGTTGAGCAAATGATCAATTGTGCTGTGTTAGGATTTGCTGATTGTTTTGGTATCTCCTGCTTTCTTTTCACTCCATGTTGGCTCGTGTAATTGATGGCGCATGTGATCCATGTAGTCGTTCTCTTTAATGCAATAAAACACTAATTGCTGTTGAGGGAAAGGATTGATTTCTGCACGCTTGCAGTTAACAAAACTTGAACTCGTGCTTCTATGTTCACTGTAGGCTCGATTGCTGCAGCACTGTGCACTCACTTTGAAAATGGAAAGATATATGTAATCTGTTGGTCTAATTTAGAATCAGAGTTAATACTACTAGTTGTAGTACATTTGTTTTGCATGAAAAATATTTAGGATAGAAAAAAAGTAGGTAACATTCCCACTTGCCAGGAGAAGATGGGTTTAAAAAATAATAAAAAAAAAAGATGAAGCAAGTTTAGTCTTTGAGAAACATGTCTTTCTGGAGGAATTGTTGTGGAGGTAATAGCTGACAGAGAGCTAAATGCAGCAAGACTGCAACGAATTAAGGCAAGCTGTAAAGGTTTTTAAGAATTAATAACGACAGTGAAAACGGCAGTATGTACAGAGCATATATAGTGAAAAAGATGTGATGCTATCTAACAACATCCATGATCCACCGTTTCAGTGTTACTAACCAAAACTAGTGTTAGAATCTGGTCGAGGTTGTGGAGGGAGAGGAGAACAAGGCCAAGCACCCGAAAGCGTGAGAGGGTAGAAGAGATGAAATCCCCACCAGCAGCCCTTTTCCAAGAATGGATAACCATACTCATCATCAAGGTAACAATGGATTCTTTCCAACTTGTCACTATCAAGGTGATAGAGACGAAATAATTGTTTCGCCATCTGAAGGTATATGGAATCTGATCTTCCCTGAACAAAAGATACAAACAAAGGTGAAAACTCCGTTGGATGTTAATTTGCCATGCCGATAATGATGCTGCATTGCTGATCAACGCCCCATATATATATATATACAGTCTGTAGCAAAATCTCCGATGCATAATTAGCTGAAGAAGCATCGTGATCAAAGCTGGTGGGATCATCCTTAAACTTAGTATCATCAAAGACCCAGGTGTCGATGACTGTACTACCCTGATTCAGAACACATAATCACATAATCACTTTAATTGCTGGTGCGGAGACCGATCACTCTCCGAGAGCGGAGACATTGAACTGTCAAAGTAAAAGTGTGTTATCAAAGATTTGAGTATCATCTTCTTTCAATGGTAAGCTTATTTCCAGATTTGCACAGCGTAATTCCCTCATCCAGCCGACTAGCCATGATAACTTGTTTAAAGGTCTTCACAGCAACAAATTTTGGGTATAGATCACAAGATATTGATGGAGTTTCCCTTAGGCAGTATTTTCTTTCTTATTGCTGCTGATGATCGAATTATCAATGAAAAATTAGTTTATGAAGGTAAAATCAACTTTGTATCTTTAATTATCTTCATGATTTTGGTCAGCGTGGAAAGCGATAAATGGTTTTGTTTGCCATGAACAACTGCTGCTTGTTTACTGTACCATAAAATGCCAATGAGAACTTTGAATATCTTTTCTCTGGTAAATGCTTTGTGTTTCTTTTCATATAATTTTGTTATTTGGTATTTCTTCTACAGTATAGCTGCAAGCCTTGCAACCGTTGAAGCATCTTGCTCAAATCTTTCATTGGCTTTGATTCAAGATATTATTATTCAATCACGTTCACATTTCAATCTTCAAAACAAGAATACTTGGTCACATTTCAATCTTGGCTAACGATGAAGTACAGAAAAAGATGGAAACGTGGGATGATGGAGAGAAAAAGGTGGAGAAGTAATTAATCCCAATATGTTACACATTTATCTATTTTCAGAAATTAAAAGTATGATATGGCACAACTAAAATTATTGAAGGAATATGATTTTAGTTTGGGTTACTCATGGAAATAAATTGACGGATAAGGTTATTTGAGAAAAAAAAAACTCTAAAATGTTGTCCTCCCGATCAACTTCGTAAACATCAGCTTGGGTATATATAACCTCGAAACATTTGATTCTTTCGCGGGTATCCACGAATAATTCTTCCGAAGAAGAAGAAAAGGAACTGTTAGTAATAATTTGACTTAGTAATTTACTTTAGTAATTTAACTTAATTTTTACTTTTTTGATTTAGTTTTTTATTGAGTCTATTCACGTTGGTTGATTTTTGTTGCTTATTTTTAGGAATATCTTCAGATAAGTTGAGATTATGGGAGTTGTGGTTAAAGTAGTGGAGTCATAGCTAAAACTGTATTTTTTTTCTTTTCTATAAATGTAATGATCAAGTAGAAGTCTTTTTGCTCCCAAGTTTAAATATATCAATTACTCCCTCCGTCCCATAATTATTGTCCAGTTTTACTAAAATAAAAGATTTTATTTTTAGTCAAACTTAACTATATTTTACCTTAAATAACCAGATATACCCCTACATAAGTAATTGTTTAACCACTAAGATTTTATGGATAATGTTTTTTACTAAGGACAAATGTGTAACTTGATCCATAAAAAGTCAAATTGGACAATAATTTTGGGACAAAATTTTTTAGGCAAAGTGGACAATAATTATGGGACGGAGGGATTATCTCTTTTCTTTGTTTATGCCGTTCAAGTTTTGTTCTTTCTTTAAAACTACAAATTGGTATCCAATAGCTATTATCTTGAGGGACCTATGAGAATGGAGAGTGACCCACAATCAGCCATCACACAACTCCACCAGTGAATCTGGGATCAACCAAAGCCATATGAGATTATCTCAAGGAGGAGTATCAAGGCAATGAAAGAATCAAAAACATGCAAGTTCTCAATCTGATAAGAGAATTTGAGATGGCAAAGATGAAAGAGTCTGAGATGATCAAAGATTATTCAGATAAGTTACTGGACATGGTCAACAAAGACTATTAGGTAAGGATTTTTCTGATGAAAGAATAGTTCAAAAAATTCTTGACATGGTCAACAGATTATCCATGATGTTCAATTTAAAGAGAGTGTTTATGATCAATCTGGTACTGAATTTGACAGAAGCGAATTGCATAAGGCACAAGCTCATCTGTTACTGAAATTAAGAGAGCATGATGACTTTAACCAGCAAAGATCAAGGATTAAATGGCTTCGTGATGGGGACGCGAATACTGCGTATTTTCACGCATCTCTGACTGAGAAAAAAGTGCGGCTTGGAAACCATAAAATTCGGGGAAGTTTGGGCTCATGGTTAACACGCAGAGAGGACATTGAGGCAGAAGCAATATCTTTCTTCAAGGATTTATAATTATCAGCTGAGCAATTTCCGGATCATGAAGAGGCCACCTCACGTATACTTGAGAATATTCCGGCAATCATTAGCTCAGATGAAAATCATGAACTTATGCGGAACATCACAAGCGAAGAACTTAAAGAGGTTGTATTCAGTCTCGATCCTTCCAATGCAGCTGGAATTGATGGTTTTGGTGGATATTTTTATCAACATTGCTGGCATATCATTAAGGAGGATCTTATGCAAGCTTGTATTAATTTCATGAATGGATCCCCTATTCCTAAAGTTGTTGGTAGTACTTTAATCACCTTGATTCCAAAAAAGATCAAGGCCACTTCATTCGCGGATTTCCGGCCTATAAGCTTGTGTACCTTCCTCAATAAAATACTCACAAAGTTGCTAACGGAACGTTTGAAGATTGTCTTGCCTTGGTTAATCTCTGAAGAGCAATCCGCATTCTTGGCCGGAAGGAACATAATGGACAATATTCTGCTAACTCAAGATCTTGTCCAGCTCATTGATCAACCAACTAGAGGAGGAAACCTAATTCTGAAACTCGACACGATGAAGGCTTTCGATCGGGTTTCGTGGAGCTTTCTAAGAAATATCTTGCGCAAGTTTGGTTTTAATGACCGTTATGTGGCATTGGTTCTCTCAAATCTGGAAAAGAGTTGGTTCTCCATTCTCATCAACGAAAGTCCGGTGGGATTTTTTCAAGTTTCTAGGGGTATAAAACAAGGTGATCCACTATCACCTTATTTGTTCATCTTGGTTTCTAAAGCCCTCACACGTAACTTGATGGTGCTTATAACCAAAGGAAGTGTTGCTTTATATGGAATGCCTGCAAAAAAACGAAGCTCCCGTCTCATTTATTTTCGCGGATGATCTAATCATTTTTACAAAAGGATTAAAGCATTCTATGCAAAGCTTTCTCTTTTTTTCAGGACTATAAATCAGCAACAGGACAAAAGGTGAATAAGCAAAAAAGCTGTTTCTATGTCTCGGAAAAAAGCTCCGTCGATCATATAGAGATGGTGAACCACACTTTGCAAATTCCACAAGGAAAATTTCCTTTCACTTATTTGGGATGCAAGCTTTTTAAAGGAAGGAAGAAAGCTGAATTTTTTCAGCATTTGCTAGAAGCTTTTGATGCCAAATTGATGAACTGGAAGAGTAAATTCTTAATGCAAGGGGGAAAATTGATTCTAATCCGCCATGTTTTATCAGCTTTGCCATTACATACCACTGCTGCTATAGTTCCTCCAAAGTCGGTTATTGCTGCCCTTGAGCGTAAATGTCAAAATTTTTTATGGGGGGAGAATGAGGATGGACACAAAAAACATTGGCGAGCTTGGAGTAATTTGGCAGCTCCGATTGAAAAATAAGGTCTTCAAATACATAGCCTTAGTGAAGTTATTCAATCATTCTCTCTTAAACTCTGGTGGAAAATTAGTAATGTCAATGGCATTTGGGCGAGATTTATTGTGTCGTTGTCAAAAACTTTGAAGGAAAGGACAAGTTGGAAATGAGTTCAAGGAGTTGATCATCTCGCATCATTAAATTCCAAAGTTGAAATCAGGAATAGATTGTCCTCATTCTGGTTTGACAGATGGTTGTCTTCATTAACAATATGGAGCGAGAACTATGATCCACCAGCTCCATCACTGACAGTTTTTGAATTTTTCCAAGATAAAATTTTCTTTTTGCAGGTTTTTGATGGATTAATTCAGCCCGAGGTGATCGATAAATTGCGCACAATGGAGTTGATGTTTAATGATGCAGAAGACCGGCTTGTTTGGATTCCCTCTTTAACGGGAGAGTTTACAATATCATCGGCATAAAATGCAACTCGACACACTAGAGAAGCTTTTCCTTTCCTTAAGAATTTTTGGAATAAAGTCGTACCCTTAAAAGTTTCTTTTTTCATTTGGCAACTTTATAACCGTTTGCTTTCTTTTTTAGAGATTTTATGTAGAATGCATTTGGTGTTAAACCCTTCCCGATGCCCTTTTTGTCAAGATGCGAAGAAGAGCATGGATCATGTTTTCTACAGTTGTCCGTGGATCACTCCAATTTGGCATCATTTTGCGGCTGTTCTGGGTGTTTCCAATCATAATTCAGGTTGGAGAAATCTTCTTCATTCATGGCAGTCCATTGGAAATTTCTCAACGGCAAAGAAGATGATCATAATGGTTACTCCACTTTTTTTGCTCTGGGAAATATGGAAATTTCGAAATCAAATGGTGTTTGAAGGTACAACTTTTTTGTTTTCAAGTCTTGTCAATAATGTTTCTACTAATATTTCCAATTTGTTGAGTGTCCACAAAATACCAGCAAAGTCTTTAGAGGAACGTCAAGAGGTGGAAAATCTCTTTAATGTACGAGTTCTTCAACCACCGAGAAAGAAAATCAAGATTGTCAAATGGAAGCCACCTGATCCCGGAGGTTTTGTTTTAAATACGGATGGATCTGCACTTGGACAACCAGGAGAAGCTGAATGGGGATACATTTTAAGGGGTGAGCAAGGAATCTTCATCAGTGCGAAAAGTAGATATATTGGAAGGGCAACAAGTTTTGAAGCTGAATTAATGGGAATTTATCACGGCTTGAAAGACAGTATTGAAAGGGTTCAGTCATCTTGAAGTTCAAACGGATAGTAAAGTTGTTACCCTTTATTTACAAAAAGGAAAAGATTTCCTGTGGCAGCATTACCAACTACTTAGTGGAATACAAGAGATGTTGAAAGCTTTGCAATCTACAATCATTCACATTTTCAGGGAAGCAAATAGTGTAGCGGATGACCTTGCAAATCCGCTAAGATCTTCATAGAGTACAGTAACATAGGTGATTTTCCAGCGTCACTTTGAGGAAAATTGCATCTAGATAAAATATCATTCCCTTATCTCCGAGTTAGATAGTAGTATGTTGCCTTATTCAAATTTTGTCAATTTGGATGTAACATATTTAGGGTTAGATCATACTCTGCCTTAGATTATCTTTTTTCTCAAAGCAATAAAATTTTAGGGGAGGACTGGGACTAGGGAACTAGATGATATATATGTCTATCCCATTGGTATACCCAAAATGGGTACATTGCATCATCTAGCACTGGCTGTTTTAAAAACTCATCTCTTGGGTATACCACTTAAGTGTTTTTAAAGCACTTCGGGACCTGAAAACCACCCAAACCCTTTTATGAAAAAAAAAAAAAGAGAAGAATGGCGAAACTGGAAATAATTAAAGCTGATAAGAAGAAAACAATTTGGCAGTTATGCATTTTAATATATTTTTATTTTACTCGTATGTGACATCTGGGTGACAAAAAAGGAGTTAAATTTACGACCATGGGAAAAGTGATTGGGAATTAATTTACCTGGCAGAATTGTTGACGTGTCTTCATCGCCAAAACGACATAGCTCTCCGGTTTCGAATTGCAGTCCAAGAAGCTCCATCGTTGTTGTCCGTCGGTGAACCGATGGATGCCGGTGACCATTGAAGTTGACATCTGTATGCCAGTGGGGAGCAATTCTTCTCCCAGTTTCCACGCAACCGAACCGCCGACGCATGGAGTC